ATGACTTGCTCTAGGAGGGGGGTTGGTGGAAACATTTTAGGCATAGCGAGGCAGGGGATGCAGTTGGCACCTAAGCCCTATCTAGTAGGCTGTGCCTTACTGGGGATGCTTCTGTGTTTGCCCTTCCAGTGACTTTAATTTCCCTTGAAGCTTTAAACTTTTCCCATGAGAAGAATGCAATGGCGGTGAACTTGGAGGTCAGGGTATGTCTGGAAGAATTAAAGAACCCTCATCCTTGCCTAAGCTGATGGTCCTGAGTCATGAGACCAAGGACAGCTACCCTGGACATTCATTCCCCTGAAGTAAGCTAAATTTCAACTGCTTGGCTGAAAGAATGCTGAACTGATAGGGAGAACTGAGTTCTAGTCTCTGCTCTTACACTAACTCTAGATCTGTTTCCTCTGCTGTAAAACGAGCGGGTTGGATTAGCCGGGTGCTAAGGTCCCTTCCAGCACTAACAGTCCATGAGTATGTAATATCTGGGCTCCACCTGACTCCACTTCAATTTCAGTCATAGCTGAACATGGTAAAATCACTTAGCCTCTCTGGGACCTCCGTTAGCTCCTACATAGAGTCAAGGAGTTAGATTAAATCTTTAAGAAGTTTGTGGTGGTGTTGGTGGTAGTGGTGGTTAGGAGGGCATAACAGCTGGTTTTAAGCTTTCTTTTAAGTTTTCTGTGCTATATCATCTTTCTGTTTGCTTCAAGGGTTACCAGTCACTATTCTCTCCAATAATCAAGTTTCTTAAATGCTGAAGGAAACAACCTAGTTATTAAGATCAATTTAAATAGGGAGTACTATATGTCATTGTCCTTATAAAGGACTTAATAACTTAATAACCATATTTCAAAATAATTGGTTTCCTTTGTAATCCTAAGTGTTTGGTTTTATACTTTAAAAATGTTATACTGAGAAGGGGTCCATAGACTTCACCACACTGTCCCAAGAATCCATGACACACCAAATAGTTAAGAACCCCTGCTCTAGGGGGTAGGCAGCCTCATCTTCATCACCAACCTCATGGTCTCCTGGGTTCTCTCTCTCCCTAAGTGCTGGTGTCAGCCCACATCCTTCACATGAGGATGCCTATTGTGGTGTTTACTCCAGGAGGGTTTGCGATCCTTTTCCTTGGTACAAAAATTCCTAGTTATGATTTGTCTGAAGCCCTTGCTGTCTATTGGCAGGAGAGATGAAAATTTCAATTTTTTTTGCTCTAGAATTCATAATCTTAATCAATGCTTTCTATATTTTCTATAGTAGTAGTACCAGCAACAACAGCAGCAGAAATAACAACTGCAGTAACAATCACAACAATAGGGATGTTGTTGTTCCATTGTGTCTTATTTTTCACAACCCTTTGGGCCATACTGTTCATGAGGTTTTCTTGGCAAGGATACTGGAGTGGTTTGCCATTTCCTTCTCCAATGGATTGAGGCAAATAGAGATTAAGTCACTTGCCCAGGGTCATATAGCTAGTAGTGTCTGAGGCCAGATTTGAACTCAGGTCTTCCTGACCCCAAGTGGCATACTGCATCCATTGCACCACCTAGCTACCTAGTAATCAATTTGACAGATATTGGGAGGTTCTCCATCTGATCCTGGATACATGCCTGTGGAAAATGGCAAGTCTCTCTTTTTTAATGTTCATTGACAAACATTGCTTCTGAATCCCTTAGCAGGGAAGTTCCTATCTTTACTCTTCATTTTTTCTAATTTCCCTTTACTGGATGACCACTTACATGACAACCTATGTGTATTCATGCCATAGAACCACAGAATTGAGAACTGAAAAGGACCTCTGCTACCATCCTGACTTTTCCATACCTGTAAGACATCCCCACTATAACAGACCCTCCTCAGGCAGTCTCTCCTCCCTACTCCAGGTCCAACCCTTGCAAAAGAGCCTCATATCTGTGCCTTAGTTCCAAATGTTCTGTGGTCCTTTCTCCTTTCTCCCCTGTCACTTTCTTCAGCCCTCAACCTTCTTAACATAGGTCAAGTTTACCCTCTCCTTCAGATCGTTTTTATTACTATCACACTGAATCTTTTCTTCTGTCCTTTTTTCTTAAAGAAACATTTTATTCTCTCTGATAGCTTAGAGAGCAAAGAGATGTTAGTACAATCCCTTTATCTTCTTTTATAAGAGGGAAACTGGACTTTTAAAGTGCATAACATTCACTTTAGTGTAGCAGGATTTTTGTATTGAAGAAACAAAAACCAAAACCATGTAGCCTGAATACACATAAATTTCTTATTGTGTGGTCTTCTCATTAAAAAATGTTTGTGCCCTTGTTCTTGAGTATTTATTATTGCAAATTTGGTAAAATGTCCTTTCAGGCCAAATTATGGGCATCTAGGTTGTGCAATGGAGAGAGTGTGGGGCCTGGAGTCAAGAAAACTCATCTTCCTGAGGTCAAATCTGGCCTTAGACACTTAATAGCTGTGTGACTCTGGGCAAGTCACTTAACCTTGTTTGCCTAAGTTTCCTCTTCTGTAAAATGAGATGGAGAAGGCAATGGCAAACCACTCCAATATCTTTGCTAAGAAAATCCCAAAAGGAGTTATGAATAGTTAGACATGACTGAAACAACTGAACAATGACCAAAAGGCCACATTATATGAGAAAAGCTTATCCTGTGTTGATGAACCAGAATAAAGCTGTTCTACATCGATACCATCTATTGATTCATTAAGACCTTTAAGAACTATTCATTGTTTTCAAAGCCATTTAAAATGATTAGTTAATAATTTATCATTCACACAGACTTACTAGAGCACTTAATGGCTGCTTTTCCAGTATAAGTTTCAGGTTTAAACTGTTATTTCAGCATCATGCAATGGAAAGAGCATTGGTCTTCAAGTCAGAGGACCTACCTAGATTTAAATCTTGGCTCTGCCATTTATTACCTGTGGTATTTTGAGCAAAATATATAAATGATCTCCCTGAAGTTTGGTTCAGAGAGCATGTCACTAGTGACAATAAATTCTTGCCTTCCTTCCCTACAGCTTCTCTTTTTTTTTCCTTTAAAAGTTTCCCTATAGAAGATGACATCTTGGTAAAAACGCAACATTTAGCAGTTATACATAGGTTGTTCTGAAGCAATTGTCCCAAGAGAAATACTTATGACAGAAGTAATTGCCTTTGATCACATTCTATTCATGCCCTTTGATCTTGTTCAGATAATAGACACTTTCCCAGAAAAGGAATTAGCATTTGTATTTATTTAATCCTTTTTTATTTATTGAAGATAGTTAGAGAATGCCTTAATTTTTAGAGGTTAATAGGCATCCAAAACAATATTGATCCATTAAAATCTCCTGATGAAAGGTTAAAGTTCATGGTATCAGACACAATATTTTAAATGAAGTAGTTGCTTGGAAACCTATTTTGGAAGCACTGACCCACTGAAAGCTTATTTATTTGTTTAAGCTATAATGAAGAGAATTTGTTAAATACTAAATCCTTTTAAAAGACAGCTTAATTCTTAAAGTATCAAATTTCTTTTTAAGGCAGCTTTAGATGATGCTACATGGTAATAAAAATGTAACATAGTTGTAATCCTGTCGTAAATATCCTAAAATAAAAGATTATAAGAATTTTTTGAAAGTTTTAAGTTAAAGTCATAATCTAGCATAGTAGAATCCAATTTTTAAGGAAAGGGCATGAAAAATAGAAATTGACATCTATCTTAAGAAATTTATTGAAATAAACATCCTACTTCACAATGAGAGAGAAATCACTAAATGTAGTTTTGCTTCAAAACAATTTTAAAATCACACAAAAATCTCAATAAGCATAATTAAACCTATTTCACTATTAGCTTTCATTTAATATAAATGGCATTTCCATAAAGTATGCCTTTATTAACTAGCTGGGAAGTGCACCTTGGAAAAAACAAATATGTATGTATGTATATATGCACATATGCATTATTATATATGTATAATTGCATGGACTATTAGAATATCCTATATATTTTTTAAAGCCTAGTGGCTTAGGACAACACATATTATAAAAGTTATTTAGCTTTTCAAGCTTTGTTATTTAGCCTATTTTTACTGGTATTCTTAATAACTCACTATTACAAGCACCTGCAAGAAAAAGTGAGTTCTGCCTCAGGTGATTTCAGGAATACTACCATATTTTCAAGTGTGACATTTAGAAAATCATATCAAGAATTTGAAAAAGATCAAAGATATGTCAATACATACACTAATAACTAAAAGGGAGAGCTGGCTTGTTTTCATCAGTTTTCTTTCTTGTTCAAATAATCAGTGGTTTTCTGATTGGTTGATCATATTGTTTCTCTATTCCATTTTATAGATTATCTCTACAACACACATCTATATGTTTAGCCATGTAATCATAGATCCTGGATTTTGAATAGGATTATAGTTCCTAACTAGAAAGAACCTTAGAGGCCTTTTAAATCAACCCCATCATTTTAGAAGATAAGATAATGGAGGCCTGGGAATGTAAAATAACTTGCCTAAGGTCACATACTTTCAAGGCAAAATTTAAAACCAGGGGTCTGACTGTAGAGCTAGTGCTCTTTCCACAAAGCCGTTCAGTTTACAGATTAGGAAACTCAGGTGCATGAACTGACTAGTGATTTGTCTAACTAGATTATAAACTCCTTAAAGGAAGAGAGGTAGTCACCATTTTTAAAAAATCCCTAGCAGCTGCTACAGTGAACTGCACACAATAAGTTTCAGTAAGGGTTGTCTGAATTTGATTAAATTGAGTGCATCTCCTTCTACACAACATGGGTGTGAAGCATTCTTATCAGACTTTCAGAGGAGCTGTCAAGATATAAAAGGAAACAGGAAGCAGAACAATTTGTTGCTATCTGATTTGGCTTTTGGAAATGAAATAGTAATTCAAACTGAGCAGGCCTATAGGAGTCCCAGTTTGGCTTCATAATCCATATTTAATTCAAAAGTGATTTGATGCTACTATTTATTTAGGTGATTGATTGTGTTCTTGTTTTGTTTTACAGCGGAAATAAAAATATGCTTTAAATACTACCACGGCATTAGTGGAGCCCTGAGAGCTACTACCCCATGTATTACTGTGAAAAATCCTTCTGTGATGGTAAGTCCAGTTTGCATATCCCATGATATAGGCATGGCCAGGCATCATGACCATTGCTGTTAAAGGAACATTGCCATAGTTGTGGTGGACAACAGAACAGGTAATGTGCTTATGACATGGAGAGCCTCCATCTTGAAAACACAACAAACCATAGCCATTGCCCCAGTTTAAATAAAGAAACAAATTCTTGAATGTGTAAAAAGGAGGAATGAGAGTGATTCTTCTCATTACAAAAGAGTTCTTAGTTTTATAAACTGATTAACTGTAGGATGCCTTTAAATGGAAGCCCACTAGTGAATTTCAGTGTCATATTACACACTACTAAGTGCTTTCTCAGTCAAGGAAATCAGAGTGGTTTGTGCCACTGCTAATTAAGATGGGAGAACAAAGATAAGATATCTCTAACATTATAACATAAGCTAATGGCAAAATGCCATTACAAAACATGGTATTTACACACAACTTTTCAGTACACTTATTTTTTATTTTTAAAAATTTTATTTATTTTATTCTGAACTTAAGAAATAAAACAATCAATTCCATAACATAGTAGAATAGGAAAAAAAGATGATTGTATGTGAAGCTGCAAATCTATTATGTTCAGTTTGCTATTCTTTTTAAAACATAATAAAGTTATCATGTAATTTTCTTTTCTTAACTTTTTTCTTCCTTTCTCCCCCCCTACCCTAGAGATGGCTACCATTAGACACAAATATGTATGGATATGCAAAACTGTTCTATACACACTTCTGTTCATTAGTTCTTTCCCTGAATATAGATAGCATCTTCCTTCATATGTCCTTTTTAGCTAATTTGCTTATTTATGAAAGTCGAAATGACTTAGTCACTCAAAATTGTTCTTAAAACAATATTGCTGTTACCATATACAACATTCTCTTGTTTCTGCTCATTTTACTTTTCATTATTTTGTGCAAGTCTATCCAATGCTTTTCTAAGATCATTGAGTAGTATTTCATAACAATCATATACCACAATTTGTTCAGCCATTCCCCAATTGATGAGCATCAAATCAATATACTTATTGAATGAAATGAAGTTCAACTTTTGTTGTGCAAAATTTTAGAAAATCTAGTCATTACAAAAGAGTGAAAAATATTGACTCTCCTAGACTAAGATCTTGACAGTCCTGTGTGATTTTTTTAGGCTCTTTGTGGAGAAGTATCTATGTACTAATTGGTGTATCTTCAGAGGATCAGACTGTCCCAGCCTAGGTTCAAAAAGAAATCTTTCCCTATTTGAAGGTGTCTCTTGAAAATCATTTTGAGGGACTAGCCCTAATACAAGCTATCTCCTGCCTCTCACCTCAGCAGTATTATTATGCACTAAGGATCATAGATTTAGAGCTGGAAGAGAACTTGCGCCATCGAGTACAGCCTCCTTATTTTATAGATCGAGAAACTGAGTGACAGAGAAGATAAGTGACTTGCCCAAGGTCACACATCTAATTACATATCTGAATCAGGATGTGAATCCAGGTCTTTCTGACACCAAATCCAATCTTCATCTCTGCTATGTTGCCTCACCATGTAAGATGAAATTGATTTAAAAGGAGGGAAAGTATACTTGCTTCTATAAAGTTTTGGTGAAATGTTCCATATTTCTTTTTTAATAAAAACAAAATATTTTAGTTTTTGGTATTTTGTCTCCTCTTTTTAAATTCAGAAGTTCACAAGAAAGAAATGGGGAAAGGGCATCTTCTTCTTATATACTATCTAGTATAGAAGGGAAATTAATTTTTTTTTCAGATTTATGAATTGTAGAAACCATCATGAAACATTTCTGTCACCTGACTGACAAGGATTAAAGATGTTGGTACACAGATGCCCTCTGGTGATGGTTCTGAAGAGGTCACCCTCAATTTCTTCCTCACTTTAAGAACTTTAGGATCTGGGCAAAGAGAAAAAAAAAATTCAGATCAACATGAAAGAAGTTGAGAGTTGCATTTTCTTTGACGTTCCTGGCTTGATGTCACCTGGGCTCTTTTCTAGGCTCTAGTGTGGCCAAGCAGTCTCTTTCTTCTACCTTAATATTTTATCTAGCTCTTTGAGGAAATGGTTATCCAGTCCTGAAGACAAAGCATCTAGACGGTAAATTACCAAAAATTGATAGTCAATCCAAACCTTCAGCTAAACAGTCATACAAGTTGGGCAGCAGCCAGGAGAAATAAGAGGGGAGAGAATTCAGTTAGATGCAAATAACAGCTCAGGAGACCTGGAATTCCATTTCTCTTTCTCCTCATGATGAGCTGAGTGACTGTGAAAGTCTTTTGACCTCTCTGAGGGTCAGAGAATGGACTGGATGACTTCTGAGGTCCTTTCCAGTTCTAATATTCTATGGCTACAAGAATAGGACTTGATAATCATTGTCAATTCCTGAATGAACAGTTAGTTATAGCTTAACATCCCTTGTACTTGCTATTTTCTTAGATATTTTTAGGTATTTGCTACTTTTCATTATTCATGTCTACATTTTTATGGAGCTTTGGAAACTATTTGGAAAATATCCAGATATCATTAATCTAGTCATTTAGTTTCAGATAGACACTGTGCCAATCTTGAGTATTTAACATGTAACAACTATCAGTAAGGACTGACATAATTTGACTTTGGAATGTTAAAAAGTGAGTGTAATTGAGAACTTTGAGCTAACCAGGATGCCTTCAGCAACAATCATCTCTGAAGAATGAATTAATTGAAATCATTTATTAAGTGCTATGTGTTAAGCACTATACTTGGCATTGGGGATATAAATGGAAAAGGGAGGACAATCCCTGACCTCAAGGAACTTATATTCTAATAGAGGGAGATGAAGTAATAGCTAGAATTTATGTATTACTTGGTGACAGCTAGGTGATGCAGTGGATAGAGTGGGGGGCCTGACATCAGAAGACTCAACTTCCCGAGTACAAATGTGGTTTCAAACACTTACTTATAGTGTGACCCTTGGCAAGTCACTTACCCCTGTTTGCCTCAATTTCCCCATCTGTAAAATGAGCTAGAAAAGGAAATGGCAAACCAATGCAGTATCTTTTCCAAGAAAACCCCAAATTGGGTCAGTCAGACATGATTGAAACAACTGAACACATATATCACTTGAACACTTCCAAAGTGCTTTTACATGTGATCTCATTTGATCCTCACAATGACCCTGTAAAGGGAGGAGCTTTTATTCCCATTTTACAGATTAGGAATCTGAGGCTGAGAGAAATTAAGTGACTTGTCCAGAGTCACACAGCTAGTAAGTCTCTGGAGTAGGATTTGCACTCAGCTCTTCTTGACTATGAGTCCATTATTCTCAATTATACCTCTTAGCTACCTTTTTATGTAAGGTAGTAGTGGCTAGAGAGGGGTTTTTTGGTTTAGAAAATTATAGGAATGGGGAGGAGGAAGTACCATAAAGGAAGCATATTGACATAAACTTTCTAGTAGCAATGGCAGTATTGATTTGATTAAGATTCTAAAACTTTGAGAATTGAGAACTTTGAGCTAATCAGGATGGTTAAAGTTATGAGAGAATGACAGAAGATATGAATGTGGTGGCAAGGCAGTTCACAGGAAGATGGTGGGAGTAAAATGAAACATGGCTGGAGCCAGCCTAGGAATAGTAGACCACATGGAACATTCACCAGTAGAGGCAGCCGTGCCCCTGAAATAAGAAAAAAAATGCAACTCTCTGTGGAAAATATAAATTTACTTTTCTAGAATGAATAATCATTGAGAAGCTTGAGTTGAAAAACTCTCCACCACTACATTTGAGCACTTACTTATGCATGATAGACATGGTTTAAAACACCCTTGTTTTGTTTGTTTTTAGTTAGCTCTGGTAAATGGTAGAAAGAATTTAAGATATTGCTAGCTACAAAATAAAGTATCACATTAGTAAACGTTTTGAAATAACCTTTATTCTAGTTAATACTAAAAATAAATGCAGTAAAAAATTAGGGCAACCTCTTTAAATTACCTGATAGCTTCCAAACCTAATTAGAATATTTCCAGCTTCTCTTTTCTTGATCTGGAGTAATTGAAGTCTCCAAATGTCACTAAAGGAATCAGATTTTCCCAATCTAAAGAAAAGCATTGCATTGGTTCTATTGATTTTGCATTGAGTTCACTCTGTCACAATCTGTGGATAACTTTGAGGTAATTAATCTGCTTCAAGCATGCTATGAAGACCATCACTACATTTCTGTATTTAGAAGTCCTCCAGTACTATAGTACTTAGAATCAAAATATAGAACATTTCAGATCATAAATCAGATAACGAATTTGGGTGATTAATGTGTTCTGATGAAGGTTATATACACTCTCTCTCTCTCTCTCTCTCTCTCTCTCTCTCTCTCTCTCTCTCTCTCTCTTTGTCTCTCTCTCTGTCTCTCCATCTCTTTCTCTCCCTCACTCCCTTACCCTTCCTCTCTCTCCCCTCTTTCTCCCTCTTTTCTTTCTCCCTTCTCTTCTCCCCCCTCCCCTTTTTTCTCCTCCTTCCCTCTTCCTCCCTTTCTCCCCTCTTCCCTTTTCCTCTCCCTCTTCTTCCCTCCCTCTGTCCTTTTCTGTCTAGTTCATAGGATCATAGAACTGGAAATGTCTTTAAAAGCCATAGATTCCATCATCTCACAAAGGAGAAAATTGAGGCCGATAATATCTCCTAAAAGATTTGAAACCTGGGCACCCATTCCTCTCTTTAGCCCTCAAATCTCAAAGGCCCAAGAGAATTTTAGTAAAGGGGGAAGAGAGAAGGTAGGAAACATTTAGGAGCTACTTCTTTCCTCCTAAAACCCCTATATAGGTGTCTAGGTACCTCCAGAAGGGAAGAGTATGAGTAGCAGAATTGTGAGGAGTCTGTAGTATGCTACATGGAATATGTGGTCATAGGAATAATTTATTTTTAACATCTTGATCGGCTACCTCTAAAAATTTAAGGTTCCCACATATATAAGCAAGCTTCATCCTTACACAGCCTATGTGGTACAACTGTTGTTTCACAATCAGATCTCAACCAAGTTCTTGGAAGAGGTGTTTGAGAAAGCTGTTGAGCAATCAGCAGAGAAATACGACAGGGAAGGAAGTGAGTCCCAGTGTTAACAGTATCAATTTCCTCTCTCTCATATCCCTTTTGTGGTGTGTCAAGGCCAAGAGAAACCTCCCACATCTCTGTCATTGATGTCTTTACATCACTGTCATTCATCAGAGCACTCAATGATGAAAACATTTCAGATATGCAGAGCAGTATCTGACCTTGGGAGCTGATGAATCCTACCATCATTGTGACTTATTGTTTCTCTCCTTCGTTGACGTGTTCTACTGGAATTAATCTATAGACTAAATTTATTCAAACAAAAGGCAAATTCCCCTAAGTGTTGTGTACAGATGTTGGTTCCCACTGATATCCATCTCTTCAATTTTGGAGAGGTCTTTCACAACTTTTGCTGTTGGAGAGTAAAGCTGAGCCATGAATTTTGCAAGTATTGCTTCCATTGAGCACTGGATAGGATAATTGGTCCAGTCTGGAGATTTTCATTAGGGGATATTTCATAGAATCACAGAATTTGAAGGTACCACAAAGGTCATCTAATCCAACCTGTACCTGAACAGGAATCCTCTTAAAAATGTTAGCCATCACTTGAAGACCTCCAGTGAAGGGTAACCCACTACTTTCTGAGGAAGCCTTCCTTTTCTCTTTTGGATAGCTCTCACTGTTTTTCCTTACCTCAAGCTTAAACCTACTCCTATTGGTGCTTTCTTTGTAGTGTGCCAGAAAATGGAAGCAAATTAAGGGCAAAAAGGAGAATGTCTATGGGATGGACACCCAAGTAGAGAAGGGCCTATGAGAATATGGCATATGAGAGACTATTGATGTTTAAACTAGAGAAGAGAAGCTTGGAGAGAGGATATAATAGATGTCTTAATGTATTCAAAGGGCTATTACACCGAAGGCGATATTAGACTTGTTCCATCTGACCCCAGAGGAACAAGGGGTCAACTAGACAGAACTAGAATCAATAGGAAAAATTTGAAGAGAGGAAATTTTAAGGGAAAAAGGCACACTAACAATCAGAGCTATCAAGAAGCAGAAAAGGCTACTTGTGGAAGTGTATTTCTCTTCCAACAAAAGCTGGACAACCACCCTGCCTGGTAAGTTAAAGAGAAGATTCATGTTAGGTGAAGGTTATACCTCTGAGATCTCTTGCACTCCAAGATTACTTGGTTTTGTCTGATCTGTGTGCTATCAATCAATCAATCAATCAGTAAACATTTATTAAGTGCAACTGTGCTAAGTGCAGGGGATACAAAAAGAAGCAAAAGACAATCCCTGACTTCAAAGACCTTATGATCTAATGGCTAGACAGGCAGTGTGGTAGAATGGATAGAGTCTGGCTTTGCAGTCAGGAAGACCTGGATTTGCATCAGACCTCTACCATGGAGCAGATTTTAGCACAACCTTTGTGAGTTCCAGATTCCTCATCTGTAAAATGGAGATAATAATAGTATGTACCACACAGGCTTTTTCTGAAGCTCAAATGAGATATGTGTAAACACCATGCACACCTGAAAAGCACTATATAAATGTGAGATATTATTATTATTATTATTAGAATCCCATTGCACCAAATGAAATCATATATTTAAAATGCTTTGCAAACCACAAGGCACTATATAAAAGTCAGCTACTGGTATTGTTTTTAATATGAAAATACTTCTTAAGAAGTAAAGAGCAGATGGCCAAATGTAAGTTAATATTAAGTGTAGGAACAGCCTGCTGCAGCTACTATTTTTAAGGGAATTGTGACCAGGAGTGTACTGGTAGATGTTTAACAACCAGTTCGGGGGGGGAGTAGGGTGGGGAGGAAGGAATTATACACAAAACAGTTTTAGGTTTAATCTGCATTCTTAACATTTTTTCCATCACTTTCTTAAGTTTAGACAATCAGCAAAACAATAAATCAAACCCTGCACTATATAAATGTTAACTGTTATTATTATTATCATTATTATTGAGGTTTAGGAGCCTATCTTTGTCCAATCCTAATAAAGCTTGCAAAGTTTGCTCTCTATTCCCTAATGCTGCCTTTGTGAAACTACCCATGCTTGGGAAAGACACGAATTGTTGATTTATTCAATGTTTGTAAATCAGTGTTGATCATGCTGCCCATATAACTGATCTTCCAAAGCGGGTTGGGAGATAGAATCACTGCTGCTTCTGTGACATCATCTCTGATGCATTCAATGGTTTTCTCTTTAGATGGGGGCAGAAGGCATGGAAGGAGGTGCTTCAGGAAGTCAACATTGTCGGAAATTAGTCAGTTTTACCTTGTCAGGTAAGTGATTTTTACAGCCTTATAAATTATTTATATGTTGTAAAGATACAGATACATGCTGCCCGCTCCACCTACACACACACACTATCAGATTTCTTATATCTTTAGGTTTTCTAGTAGTATTTCTCATTGAGTTATAAGTTGATTATTTATAAAGCTCAATAGTAATTTGACTACCAGGCAAGTTAGCTAATGCTTGCTATTGTAGAAGAAGTTACTTCTTTAAGCTTCTCATTTAAAAACTCAGACATACAAAAAGAATAAGCTAGAATGCAGCATGTGACAATCTAATTAGAATTCTGTTACATGTTGAAAACAACCTATACTTATCTATTTGTATTCAGGGAAGGAAAATACATTGTACAGGCACAAGAAAAAGAAATATTCTCTGACGGCAATGGGAGAATATCCATAATAGGTTGGAAAATAGCTGAAATGTGCTGTTATTAAGAAAGGTGTAATGATTTGTGTATTTGCCATAGAACTAAGAGAAATGTCCCGAATGACAAAATCAAGCAAACTCTCAGAAAAGCCAGCTTTCTTTCTTTTTGATGAGCTTTTTTTGGCCAACATCTGTGAAATAAGGAATTTGTGTAACATAAAGCCCAACAGCTGTCTGTCACTATAAAATTCTGTTTTTATACTCATGGAGGTATTGTGTTTCTGAGGCTTAAATGATATCCATTTGCTTTTCTTTCCAAATGACAGTCACAGAATTTTTCAGCTTTTCAGGTAAAAAAAGAACAGATTAAATTAGCCAAACAGGGAAAAATTATGCTAGTTCTTAAAATACCAGACACAATTCACATATACGTGTACATATATATGCATGTGCATGTATATGTATGTATGTGTAAACATTTTTTTGAGACTGGATTTCCCTATCAGACACAGGCTGGAAATGTAGACACTCAAGGCTCTGGTCTTTCTGTTGATTGACAAACCCTGTTTTTCTGCCCTGGGCTAGTTCACCTCCTTAGGCAGTCTGGGGACCTTCTGCTCCCAGGGGCCTACTGTATTGGTGCCAGACTTAATGCAGATACCTTATCCATTTTAATCTCACTGAAGCTCAGAATTCCTGAGCTCAGGAAATCCACTAGCTTCAGACATCCTCATTTGGACCATTAATATGGGTCAATACTCTGCCAATAGAGTTATTAACATGTAGAACAATGTTAGAGTTTTCAGTGATAAGGAGACAAAAATGAAAGCATTTAAAAGCAACATCTTTTAATAATGAGGACAGTAGATGTGAAGTCAGAGGACTTGAGTTTGAATCATCACCTCTGCTGCTACCTCTAAGACTTTGGGAAAATCCCGTTCCTTCTGTAGGCTTCAATTTCTTCTATGCTATTAGGGAGCTGCATTAATGATCTTTAAGGTACTTTCAAGGTCTAAATCCTATTATATTTCTATTACTAATATGTCTCCATTACTTAGGCACATATACATAAGATATATATATATATAAATTCATTGGTGGTGTATAATCTTCTGAGTTTGTTTTCTCCTCCTTTAACTTCCCTTAATGTGAAACTGTTTAACAGGAAAACCAGTGTGTAACTTGGTTTCTCTCATGATTCCAGAGTTTCTTGATCTTATTCTGGGAAGCCCAGATTTGCTGGCTGAGAACAAGGAAATTGGTTGATCATTCTGATTTCAGAGGTCCTTAAGTTCTAAAAGTATTGCTGGGGAAACACAAGATCTGTGCCTTTCTCCTCTCCTTATGACCCAGAAAACAAGCAAAGTAGTAGTTATGAACAGAGCTTGAGGTTTCTCCCACAATATATTACTATGAAGCAGTTATTATTTTCCCTCTCTTTGACCTACTCCCCTCACCCCACTAGCCTTGAGGAAGTTTTGAGAAATGAATGGCCTTCACATGTATAAACTTCTAGTATAACTTGGACTAGGGATGTTTTGAACAGATTAGGTTAGCCTGATCCTGCATTACATAGATCAAAATAATTGTAGCTTCCTTATCTTTTTTTTTTCCTGGTCCTCTTAATCTTTCTACAAGATGTTTATTGGCAAACAGAGAAATTTGAGACCTGGTGCCCATAAGTCTATGTTACCCAATACTGAAAACCCAACAAAGTACAAACTTTGAGCACATCATATTATTTGGGGGGGGGGGGAAGTTGAGGCAAGTGGTGTTAAGTAACTTGCCCAGAGTCACACAACTAGTGAGTTTTATGTGTCTGAGGCTTGAACTCACGTCCTCCTGACTCCAGGGCCAGTGCTCTATCCACTGCACCACCTAGCTGCCCCTCACATTATATGTTTTTTTGTTTTAAATTGTTGTTGGGTATTGCTGGCAGACAATAAAAAATGCTACTTTGCCCAGGTCACTATACTAACTCACATATTGGTTTCATGGATCATAAAAGTGTGGATACAAATGTAGAATTTTTATGTTGAGTCATTATTAACTCACCCCTGGGGAATGGCCATCTGGAACCAGAGGATTCTAGGCCATTTTACTAAAAATAGGAAATAATCTCTGAAACAGAGGTCAGTGTTTTTTTCTCTAATTAAGTTGCTTATAATGTCCAGCATGACTTGAAAAACAACACTTTCCAAAGTACTGACAATGACTAGTACATGGAGAATATGATGGAGAAACAACATGTAACCAGAAACAAAGTTATGAAAAAGCAGCAAGGCATAGTGGACTGTGTTGGACTTGGTGTCAAAAACACCTGAGTTTGATTCCTGCCTCAGCCACCAAGGAGCTGTGTGACCCACGGCAAATCACTTCACCTCTCTCAATCTCAGTTTCTTCATCTCTGAAATGGGGGTAACTAATAGCACCCACCTCCCAGGTTTGTTGTGATGACTAAATGCAATACCACTTAGGACACTTTGCAAACCTTAAGGTGCTATATAAAAGGGAGATATTATTATCATTATCAGTAATAAATTTTAAAGAGGAATAAAATTTCATCCAAGAAACATATGAAAGGAAGAGAAGATGGATTGCTCATGTGGTGAGGGCAACTGATGATAGTAAGATGGCCAGAGTTCTCCACTGATACCCTCATAATGTTACAAGAAAGATAGGGAGGTCTCTAGCATGTCGAGTTTACCCTCTTCACAAACTTATGGTAGGTGTGACATGGATAGGAGTATCACAGGATAATCGGGTATTAACGGTTATGACTTCTGTCATTGGAGAGGGCATCTAAACCATTGAGCATGTAATATGATTTGAGTATAAGATCCAAAAGAATATTGCCAAGCTGGAGCATTAGGTTGATTCTAATAAGATGAAATTCAATAGAGTTACATGTGAAGTCTTACATTTGGGTAAAAATCTAAGATGGGGAAGTCATGGATATTCAACAGTTCTGAAAAAGATCTAGATGTTTAAAAAGACTGCAAACTCAATATGAATCAGCAGTAAAATGCTAATAGGGTCTTGGGCTACATTGAAAAGAGTTAACTTGTTAAAAAAAAAAACCATGACAAAGGGATAGTTTTAGAAAAATCTGTGAAAACTTATTTGAACTGACACAAAATAGATTGAGCAGAACCAGGAGAACATTGTATATAGTAACAGGTCTGTGAGCCTGGGCAAGTCGCTTAATCCTTGTCTGCCTCAGTTCCTCGTCTGTAAAATAGGGATAATAGTAGCACCTAACTCTCAGGGTTGTTGTGAGGATAAAATGAGATGTTTGTAAAACATTAACACAGCACTTACCAGTAGGCACTTCATAAATGCTTGTTTTAAATGCTTGTTTCTTGTCTTTCTTTTCATATATTCTACAGTCTAGCCAAACTGGTCTCCTTATTCTTCGTACAGCACTTGACATCTACCATGTCCATTTCTTTTCACATGCTTGTCCCCTTCTTCCTCCTCACTTCTGTCTCTTAGAAACTCTAAAGCTTGCTGCATGAGGCCTTTCTTGATACCCCTCCAGTTATTATTGCACCCTATCCATTATGTTATCTTGACATTATATACATTTAACTTGTACTTAAATGTGGATAAGTTGTTTCTCTCGGGGTAAGGTAAACTCCTCGATGGCAAGGACTGTTTCTTTTTTTCATTTTGCTATCCTTAGTGCCTAGCATAGTGTTTAGCACATAGCAGCTATTTGTTAACATGAGAAAATACTTGTAAAGTGCTTAGCAAGCACATAGTAGGCTATATATAAATGTTAGCTATTATTATTAAAAATAATTTGTTATTGCCTTAAAACAAATAATTAAAATTAAATTACAGTATATTTTTGCCTTGTCTTGCCTTCAAACTTACTCTAACTACCTGGTAGTTAAACATTTGGAGATAATAAGCAAATATGTGAGAATCATAGTAGGTGAAAATTGTAACAACTACTGTGTTTTATTGCATAAAGTTAATATGGCTCTAACATTTATTTGTCGGGAATAAATACTTTTATCCTGGAAAACATGTGAGTAACTATAGAAGTAAGCCTGCAATCATTAATGTTCCATTGTTAAGTTTCTGTGGTTGAATGCTGGGCATGAAGAAATGAAAATTCACAATGGATATCAAAACCATTCTTTGGTTAAAAGTTTTATACTATAGTCAAGAGAGCATTGAAATTGGAATCAGAAGATCTGGCTTCAAATTCTGGTGCTCTTAACTGATTATCTTATCTTGAGGAAATCATTTTACTTCTCTAGCCTTTAATTTTTTCATCTATAAAATGAACTGGAAGTACTAGATAATTTTTAAAATTTCTTTTCCAAGATTTTATTGTTCTGAAAATAATAGTGTTGATTTGAAAGTACCCTCTGGCCAATCTGTGTTGCTTATTTGAATGATAAAGGAGAAGTCATATCAAAGACGGGGTGAACAAAGGGCCCGGGGCAGCAATTAGGTATGGGAGTGGGAGTGGGGCACCACGGCATAGGATAGTGTACAGAGAGCTGGCCTTGGAGACAGGAAGAAGTTCAATTCTGACACATACTGACTGTGTGATCCTGGGAAAGTCACTTAATTTCTCAGTGCCCTTGGAAACTATAAGTCATGGAGCAGGTGCTGATCTGCATAGGGAGAAGGAACACCCTTCACTATGGAATCCCAGGTGTGGACCAAAAAGAAACACAATTAACCACACGGTTTGGTGGTTTGTACTGCCATTTATACCCATATCACTCCTCATTTGATTTGCTGCAGATAAATCTGGTTGTTTGGATTCACTGTATAGAGAAATGGATTCTGCCACTTGGAAAGAGTACAAGGCCTGAGTTTGAATTCCAGCCTTGCCACTGCATTTATGACCTTGGGCAAATAACTTCATTGGGCCTCAGTTTTCTCATCTGTAAAATTAGGATGTTAGACTAGCCAAGCTCTAAGATCTCTTCCAACTCTGGATCTACAATCCTATGAATTAAATGAACATAATAATTAAGAAAGGCATATATAAAATGTGGTAAAAACACATTTTTCTCTCAAAGGTATATTATGTTAAATAAAGTCAACTGAAATACTATGGAATCATGACACAGACAGTAAAATGCTAATGTGACGTTTGTAATGAGCACACTGTTCAGGAAATGCCAGGAATGGGGAATATGATACTAATGAGATATTATAACAGCTCCTTTGAAGCATCTGGCTGGTTCTTTATCTCCCTTTTACCACTTTGGATATCTTTTCAGATCAAAGATCCTTCCTGTCTTTAGTGTTTTCCATCCTTGGCTTAGGGGCATTTCAGATAATTTTTTTAAACATTTTGTGACATACCTTAATCCTTCCCTGCAATGGGGGAATGGCACTAGCCTTTCTTGCTGTATGCCAATTTTAAGTGTATACTTGTGCATCTCTGGGCCATGGGAGCACTGCATGTTTTTGAGTTGTGTAAAGCAAGTGTACGAGCCCAATTCCAGGGCTAGCAGAAAGTTAACTAGCTTTGAAGTCAGTAAGAAGTGAGTTCAGGCTTCATTTCTTCCACATACTGACTCTGTGTCCCTGGAAAAATCACATCCCCTCCCATCACTCCGGATGCCTCTGTAAAACCTGAAAGTATCCATCTTTATTAGCAGAGAGAGCGTCTCACCAGGACTTCCCTATACTGACCAAATCACAGATGCATTTTTTTTAAAAGCTGCATTTGCTGCAGTGTGACCTTGGTGACCTTATAGAACTCAGAATCTGCTCACTACCTGACTTGGACTTACTTAGAAAAACTCTAGTCTGTAGGCTCTTAACCTTTTTGCATCATGGACCCTTTAGGTAGTCTAATGAAACCAATACCTCTTCTCAAAGCAATCTGGTATGATGTTATGAAGATACATAGGATCACATAGGAAACCAATTTTATTGAAATGTAGTAATCAAAATATTTTTTAAGTTCAAAGATTCCAGATTAAATTCTCTGTTATAGACTGTCCAACCCCTCAGATCAGGTCAGGATTAGTAAGTCACTAAGGTCACCCCACTGCAAGTCTACATGTATATGCTTTTGGGACCATCCTAGGAAATCTGATCTGGATTATGTTTCCTAAAAATTCCTTAAACTGATCAAAACCATAGGAGAATTCCAGAGTGAATATCAATTTTTGGAAGCCCTAGAGTTCACAGAGTCATAGGATCACAGATTTTGAGCTAGAAGAGACCTTAGTGATCATCTGGTCCAAAGTCTTCATTTTATCAATGACGTACCCACAGTTTACTGACTTGCCCAAGGTCACGTGCCAGTATGCAACAGAGCCAGGATTTGAACCTGAGGGCCTATGACGCCACGTCTGGCACTTGTTCCGTTATATCAATCACTCTGCCAGCCTGGGACCATGGCACACATTTTGGGATAGTGTCAGAACAGGTGCCTGTGACTCACGTTGCTGTTGTTCAGTCATTTTTTTCAGTTGTGTCCAACTCTTTGTTTTGAAGAAAAACCACTTAATATCAATGTTGCTGCTGTTGTTCAGTCAAGCCCAACTCTCCATGACATCATCTGAGGTTTTTTTTTTTTTGGCAAAGATACTGAAGTGATTTGCCATTTCCTTCTCTAACTCATTTTACAGATGAGGAAACTGAGGCATACAAGGTCAAGTGACTTCTCCAGTGTCACACAGCTAGTAAGTGTCTGAGGCCAGATTAGAATTCAGGAAGATGAGTCTTCCTGACTCCAGGTCCAAAACTCTATGCAACCTAGCTGCCCCTTTGACTCATATGATCTGACCTTAAATTCCCAGAGTGTGTCTTGGGAATGAGCATTTTTAGCATAGAGTGATCTTGTGAATGTGTTCACACTATTAAGCCACTATATTTTTACCAGCCACAGTGGATGAAGGAAGGATCAGGAAATCTAAAGTGACATATAGAAAAAAGTCTCAATTAATAAAGTGTAAAATTAATGGTATGTACTAGATTCTATACTTTATGGGGCATTTAACACATGACCTCTCAGTTACTTAGGATATTAGATATTTTATTTGAATAATTTGGAAACATAACTCACCACTCCATGCTCTAAATTCCTTTTCATTTGGGAGGTGATATGTAATTTAATATGTCTTGCAAATGAATGTATGTTCATTCTAAGGCATTGATGAAAGTTTCCAAAGTTTCAGGATAATATTATCGCTCTACTGCTTTGACAATACTACTCATTCATCCCAAACAGAACCCAATTTATACCTGCTCTACGTACATGAATGATTCTTTTTTTCTCTTTGGTGTTGCAACAGAATGAGATGATTGTCTTTTTTGTAATAGTTCATTTATTAAGAATTTCTCCCAAAGTAATCTATTAAATATCTGAGATCAAAATAAGGTTGTCCTGGAAAGTAATGATGCAGACATACATTTGGGAATCAAAAGCATTCCTAGCCTATGATGTAGGAAGTTTCAACTAAAGGCCAGACATGCTAGATCTTCCCCCAACCTGCCATTCATTTCTTCCTCTGTGTATCCTGTTAGGAGAACTCTCTGAATGAATTGATGCCTTAAACGACTCCTATACCAACCATCTTATCCATCTTAGTGTAATGAATTTTACGTAAGTTCACTAAGCACCTTCAAGGAAGGGATCTTGAGTGATAGCTTGAATACAAATCATTGAGTTGCTTGTTCTAATGACAATATATTAATGTATATTTTCTTTTATTTTTTAAGATCTTAGGGCAGTTGGGCTAAAGAAAGGAATGTTCTTTAATCCTGATCCTTACCTTAAGATGTCAATTCAGCCAGGAAAGAAGAGCAGTTTTCCTACGTTTGCCCATCATGGGCAAGAACGAAGGTCTACCATCATCAGTAACACAACTAATCCAATTTGGCACAGAGAGGTAATAATGTATGCTTTTTAAGTCTCTCACACTTGATAGCTCAAGTTTGCCAAGTTGGCATCATATTCCTTCCTTCCTTTGAATGCTTCACACTGTGGTTTACTTCTGGGAGCTAGTTTAGATTGTCAAGGATGTGTGGTTTCCAGGGGCTATGTAAGATAGGACATGAGGGAGCACTGAATTCTAGTACATAGATGATACTAAGCTAAAGAGATTTCTCTTCCCCTTGGGTTTTGGCTAATGGATTTGTGGATTCCTGTAAGCTGTAAATTTCAATTAATTAGAGAAATACAATTGACTTGATGAAGGATCATTAAGTGAGTGTTCAACTTCAGGGTAGACATATTGACATGGACAGTATTACTAATTCTTTGGACTGCAACTTCTGCAGTATGGTCTTATTTGAGCTGACTGGATGAAAATAAAGATCAGGTTTTTCCCATCACTGCTCCCTATAATGATGATAAGAAGAACATACAAGTGACTGGTTTAGAGGGCAGAAATGAGACAATATTAGAAATGTCCCTGAGTTTTGTTACCCTCCTTCAAAGTGATCCTGGGCAAGTTATATATTATTTCTTTTTATATGAATCCTATCTTTAGTTTATCAGTTCAATTATACCCAATATAGTGCATGTTTAAATAGTAATAACAACATTTATACCCTGGAAGGAACAAAACAGAAACACTGACAGTCAGGAGAAAACATTAATTGAGGAGTCAGCTTTGTGTAATATTTCCTTTGAGTATTCTCCTATGGTTATGGAAATCAAAAGAATCCCATGCATTTCTATATGGAAAATGATGCTGGTTGAAAATAATCTATGGAACTACTTACACAGATCAAATGATCTTCAACTGCATTGAATTTTGTTCAGGGTGCTAGAGACTCTCTCCCCAATTTGTTCAGTTTAAATATAGAGTTTCAATGAAGTGTAGTTTTAATGACAACCATAGTATTTCATTCATGCAATGTTTCCATTTTGCTATTAATTTAAAATATTTTTAATCACTAAAAGTCAGTGTGGTTCAATTGTACAGTGGAAAGGCCACTTACTTTCTTTAGAATCAGAAGACCTGGATTCAAATATCTGCTCTGTCACTTAAAACCCATGAGACCTTGGACAACTCACTGAACTTCTGGGCCTCAGTTTGCTCATTTGTAAAACGAGGGAGGTAGACTAGAGAGGAGTGAATATTGATATTGTTATCAACCTGCTTGATGGAAAAGGTGATGATACTCTTAACAGAAGGAAGATTAGAGGAGAGATGGTAGTACACATAGTAATGAGTTCCATTTAGATACATTGTGTTTGAGATACTGATGAGATATCCGGATGGAAAAATTCAGGAAGCCAATGATAATATAGGACTAGACTTGAGGAGAGAGATTTGGGCTGTATATATAAATCTGGGAATCATTTGCTTAGAGACACTAATTTAACCCACGAGATCTAATGAGATCACTAAAGGAAAGAGTATATCCATAGAAGAAAAAAGGAGATAGGATAAAACCTTAGAAGAATAGTATTTTCTATCAAAATCCAATGTATTTGAGATTTATTTTAGAGATAAATTAATGTTATCCCTTTTTCCTTTATAGAAATATTCTTTTTTTGCACTTCTTACTGATGTCTTAGAAATTGAAATTAAAGACAAATTTGCCAAGAGTCGTCCTATCATCAAGCGTTTTCTTGGGAAACTAACCATACCAGTCCAGAGGTTGCTGGAACGTCAAGCCATTGGGTAAGCACAGTTATTTTGTGGTTCTTAATAAGATCAGGAGCTATGCTGCCAGTGAAAAATAGCACTTTTCTGACTAGCCAATAAAGATTTCCTCAGTGATCAGATTTCTTTTCTATCCACAGTCCTTTAAACATCATATAATTTCCTTACACTTATAAAATTCTGACCGCTTAAAAAAAACTTTTCACTGTTACGTTTTATACGTAAACTATCGTTTCCTCTGTAGCTCAGACTTGGCAACTCAGTCCTGTCCTGAGATATACTTGCCAAGATGCTACGTATTTAAGCAGCATTTCAGAATAGAATCTTTTAACGTCAAATAGCAGTACACTAGGACATCTTGTGATACCACCTTTTATAGGGCAATATCCTAAATAAAATAAGGGTCTACCTTATACTGACCAATTCCACACAATAGAATTTTGTTTTTTAATGACAAGATCTAAAGCGTTTTCCTATATTAAAGTGATCTCATACACAGGATGAATCCTAAATGTAGTCTTGTAGTAAATTAAAGTATATTTATTCAAGTACTAAACTTTCAGAACCTATTGCAGTTATGCTTCCCCCACCTCAGACTTTCACCTCCCTTTTATGTGTTATCATCCCTGTTAGAATGTAAGGTCCTTGAGGGCAGGGATTATTATCTTTGTATTTGTATTCCAGCACATAGCGCAGTGCCCATTGCATAGCAAGGATTTAATTAAAGCTTTACTCTCTCTTTCTCTCTCTCTCTCTCTCTCTCTCTCTCTCTCTCTCTCTCTCTCTGTCTCTTTCTCTCTCTCTCTCTCTATATGTATATGTATACATACATATATAAACACATAAATATATATATATATACATACACACATATATACATATATATGCATTTATTTATTCACAAACATATATTTCCTGATCAGTCTAAAAATATTTTGATTATAATTTAACAAAAATATAACAGATCTACATTTTATTGCTTAGTTTATATGTGTGTGACAGCAAATTTAGATGAACTCCATAATAGGTTGCTGTCAACCTATTTTTTGTTATTTTTATATCATTGTAATATTATAGTATCACAATATAAGTAAATATTATATGATGTTATTAATCATAATATATCAATGTAATGCAATAACAATATAACAATAATGTAACAATATGATAATAACATAAAATAATAAAATAAAAATAACAACAATAATAACAATAGCAAACATTTATATAGCACCTACCATAAGCCAGGTACTAATGCTCAGTGCTTTACAAATATTATCTGATTTGATCCTTACAAAAACCCTGGGAGATAAATGCTATTATTCTCCCCACTTTGCAGTTGAGGAAACTGAGACAAACACAAGTTAAGTGACTTGTCCAAGATCATACAGCTAGTACATGACTAAGACTGTATTTGAACTCAGGTCTTCCTGATTCCAGGAGCGCTCTATCCATTGCACCGTGTAACTACCTACCATGTGCTAGGCACTGTGCTAAGAACTGTGGACACATAAGAAAGGCAAAAAACAGTACCTGATCCCCAGGACCTCACATTATAATAGGAGAGACAACATCCAAGCAATTATATATTAATAAGATACACACAGGATAAATTGTAAATAATCTCAGAAGATAAAAAGGGATCAGGAAAGGCTTGCAAAATGTGGGATTTTTTTCCCCTTGTTCCCCTGAAAGATGTTTTCAGCTGAATAGAGGGTAATGCAAGTCTTCTGAATCCAAGAACCACTTTACCTTAAAAAGGCGCTAACATAGGGTATGCAGATGCATAAATAGTGCCCATATTCAAATACAAGTTCTATATCAGCCTGAATAATGCAATGCCCTAGAACTCTATGTCCAAAGTAAAGAAACCCCATTGATGCCATGACAAAATCAGTAACTGACTGTCAACATTCATCACAACTCACTGACAATACATGTCTAATAGAAGTTTAGCTGTATTACAATAAACAGTTAATAAATTAATAAAGCATTTATTAAGTGTTTACTATGAGCCGGGTTCTATACTAAACAAGACAGTTCCTTTCTTCAAGGAGCTCATATTCTAATGTGAAAAGACAGCACATAAGGGGGAGCTAAAAAGGGTCAGGGGCTACAGGAGCTGCAGCCTAACAGGGAGCAAAGTTGTGTGCCTCACAGTACTGGGCCTCATTGAGTTAAGGAAAAAACTGACACACCTGGGGTCTAGTTCAGGTTACAGAGAGGGAGGGAGGGGAAAGTGATGGTTCAAATACAGGAGACATGGTAGAGAAGCTGGGAAAGTAATACGGGGGTGTGGGCTCTGGCAAGATAAAGCAAAATCTGGACTACCAGATCCAAGGGACCCAGATCATAGCACAGAAAAATCCCTTCACAAATTCTCGCAAATGAGTACAGATGAGATCTAGATTGATGTTAGGGAATACAAACAACAGTTGGTGTAACTTAGTTACTATCAACAGATTCAAGCAGAAGGAAGCTCCTGTCACTGCTCCCTATGTACTTCACTTGACATCAAAGAGAAAGAAGAAATCATTAACAGAATGGTTGATCCATATGGTCAGGGGCCATGATGACTATTACATTAATCAGCAAACATTTATTGGATCCCTACTTGTGAAACGCAAATACAAGAGGCTTAGGAGGTGATCCCTATTTTCAAAGAGCTTTTAGCATCACTATGGAGACAAGAGATACACAGAAAAAGAGAATACCACAAAGAAGCATGTGATAAGCCGTGGGAGTGGTACCCACAATAAGTGACAAAAGAGTTTTAGAGCAGAGAAAAAGTATAGGGCCTAGCAAACTGTTTTGTAAATAGCTGACACTGAATAAATATTGAGTAAATGAAACTGTCACTGTGGAACAAGGTAATGGTAAAGGCTTCATGGAGGGAAAGAGGTCTTGAGCTCATCCTTGGAGAATCACTATGATTTGTACAAATGGAGAAGAGAGGGGAAATAGCAGGACCATAGGCACGGAAGGGGAAATGCTCAATACGTTCTGGGGGATGATGAGTAGATCAGATTGGCTTAGAGCACAGGCTCTTGACCTGAGGTTTGTGAACTTGTTTTTAATTTTTTTAAAATATTTTGGTATCTATATTTAAATATAATCATTTTCCTTTATAACCCTATGTTCTTTTCGTATTGTTCGATTATTTCAGTTGTATCTGTCTTTGTGACCCCATTTGAGGTTTTCATGGCAAAGATACTGGAATGGTTTGCCATTTCCTTCTCCAGCTCATTTGACAGATGAGGAAGCTAAGACAAATAGGGTTAGCTGACTTGCCCAGGGTCATACAAACAGGAAGTATCTGAGAACAGATTGAAACTCAGGAACTTGAGTCTTCCTGACTTCAGGCCCAGCACTCTGTCTAACTGTACCACCTAGCTGCCCTCATGTTCTTTTATTTTGTTTATTTGAAAATATTATTCTGGGGGCAACTAGGTGGCACAGTGGATAGAGCTCTGGCTTTGGAGTCACTAGGACCTGAGTTCAAATCCAGCCTCAGATACTTGACACTTACTAGCTGTGTGACCCTGGGCAAGTCACTTAACCCTAATTGCCTCACCAAAAAGCAAAAAAAAAAATTATTCTAAGAAGTGTCCATAAGCTTCATCACAATGTCCAATGGGTCCATCACACAAAAAAGAGTTGAGAACCTCTGGAATAGAGAAAAGGAAATAGCTGGTCATATATGTAGAGGTATAGTCTGAGCTTAAGTTACACCTTTAATATTAGTGGAATTTGGATTGTATTTTGTATAGTTGATGGGGAGCCATTGAAGGATTTTGAAGAGTTAAAGTAGATATCAATCTGGCCACAAGCTTACAGAATGAATTTGAGGAAGCAGAAAAAAAGAGGAATGGAGATCAAGAAAGAAATTTTTGTAGTAGGTCAGGTAACGTGATGACTCAGACTAGGGCATAACCAGTGGAAATTAAAAGGGAAGAGATAGATAAAAGGCAGCAAGAGATAAATTTACAGGAGTTGGTGACTAGATGTGGGGCAAGAGAGGAATTGAAAGTGATCCTGAGATTTTAAGCCTGGGTGACCCAGAAAATGATGGTGGTGTTAAGAGAGATGGAGAGGTGTGGAAGGGGAACTGGTTTTAGAAGAAGATGATGAGTTCAGTTTTAGAAATATTGATTTTGAAAGGATGATCTCAACTTCTCAGTCTTATTCTGAGGGGAAGGTAGGAATGGGTGCTTTAGGGGGCTCAAGGACAGAAATGAAGGTTTGGAACAGCCTTGCCAGAGAGTGTTCATTAGGGAAGAATGAAAGGATTGTTGGGCATTTGTAAGAGCAGATAATATATATTAATAGTGGACCCATTTAGTACATTTGTGTGACTTCCTCAAATGATCATCAGCAGTGTGGGATTAGGAAAAGAGAAGCATCTGGTATTGGTGACTCAGGGTTGGGGTTTGGTAAGTACTTATCAACACTAAAACAAGGGGGCTAGAGTCACAAAGTAAAAGACAAGTAGTTGAGCTGGTAAACTGTGATACTGACGTGGTGAAAGGAAGAATATGAGGTCAGAGGAGGTTCGATGGATTGTAAGTGTAGGGAGAGTAGAGAAAATCAAGATCACAATGAGGATAAAACACAAATTTGTGAGGATCTAGTTAAAGGGAAAAATAGAAAAGGAAATTATGATCACTTAGGGGAACTTCAGTCTTTAAGATAAAGAGCAATCACTCAGCAATGAGCTATTATGGGATATAAGGAATGACTTGTGTGTAGCTGAGACTGAATGAAGTTATAGGTCATGAGAATTGAGGGTGTCATGCACTGTGGGAGACTGAGTTGTTTGAGAGGGCATCAGTGTTTAAACTGAAGTCCCATTATATTGTAGGATCATCAGTTCATGAGGGACCACAAGAGCCATTTAGACCAATTTCCATATTTTACAGCTTAGGAAACAAGTCCAGGGAAAGTTGTGACTTGCCCACACATGTAGTAAGGTTTGAATCTCTGTCTCCAGAACCAATGCTGTTTCCACTATACTGTGTTGTATGAGGTCAGGGCTTGGTTTGGAGAAGACACAAGAGCCAGAAATTTAATTCTTTGAGAAATAAGGGAGAATGACTGGGAGACTGATTGATGACTACACCAAATTCTAGAAAGTTAGTATAGACATATGGAATGAACCTCAAAAGAGGAGAGGTTACTGAGTGATGGTTCTGGAAGTGGCCATCAGGAGCAAAGAATATGCCAACTCCTCCTCCCGATTCAGTGAGCTAGGGACCTAAGAAGAGGGAGTACCCAGACTGGAGAGGATGGACAAGGATACAATTGGAATACAAAGTATGAGGCTCAGTAGTAGCTTTTTCCCATATCCATGGCAGCAAGTTGAGAAAGGTTCATCCAAGTCTTCTCAGTGTTCTGAATGATCCCCTATTTCTACTACACATTATCCTTGGTTAATCACTCCATTGCCTGGGCTATGAGTTATCTCCCTTCACAGTCTTCTTGGGTTTGATAAAGCTATAGGTATGCTAACTCTCAACTCTATGTTTAGAGGTGTGGTCTAAGGCCAGATTGTACCTTTAACATCAGTCATTGCATTTGGATTGTATTTTGCAGTCAATGGGGAGCCACTGAAGGCTTTTGAAGGAAATTGATAATTAAAGTAGACATCAGTCTGGCTGAAAGCTTACAGGATGAATTTGAGGAAGCAGAAAAAAGAGAAAAGGAGATAAAGAAAGGAACTATTGCAATAGTTCAAACAAGGTCCAACCTTCCTGGACCTTAGTTTTCTCAGCTGTAAAATGAGGAGATTGGTCTAGATGGGTTCTTTGGTTCCCTCATAAGTCTAAATTAATGATCCTACAATATAATGGGACTTCAGTATAAACATTGATGTCCTCTCAAACAACTCACTTTCCCAGTTCACTGACATCCTCAACCCTCATACTCTATAACTTCATTTGATCTCTTGAGTGTTGAAACCTCTAACTAAGACAGATGTCATAAATTTTTAAAGTAATGAAATTTTAATGTCCAGGATAACCTCTCAAATTCACATATTTCCCAAATGGAGAAATTTATTTTGTTTCGCTAAACAAAGTGATTCAGGCTGCCACCTAATTTTTCCCTGAAGCTTTCCCCATTTCATTGCATTGAATTCTTCCGATTACATCAAAAGAGAGACTCAATTAAGTGCCAGTATGTTTTATAATACCTCTCTTTGAAACCAGATAATCTTCCTTTTAGCAAAAATGAATGTGCCTCAACCATTTCAGGCAGTGGACAAGTTTGGGTGGAGGCTGATGGAAAGGAGTGTATACAGAAAGAAATTAAAACTATAAATCATGAGTCTATGAACCCAGCAGGTTCTCTCTATAGAGGTTTTTCTTTACTTAATGAAAAATCTAATCATTTTGAGGCTCCCTGTTACCAGAGCTTCTTCTCTAGTTCTAAGATGGCATGAGTCTATGACTTCATGTGACAGTGGTGGTTCTGGAGTCAAGAAAAGCTGGGTTCAGATGTGGCCTCAGATAGTTACTGGCTGTGTGACCCTAGGAAAATCACAACCTTTATCTGCCTCAATTTCTTCATCTGTAAAATGGGAGAAATATAAGTACTCACCTCCCAGGGTTGTTGTGAGGATCAAATGAGCTAATATTTGTAAAGCAATTTGCAAACCTTAAAGTGTTATATAAATGCTATTGTTATCATGATGATGATGATGATGATGATGATGATGATGATGATGATGATTATGCATTTGGTAGCTAGGCCTGCCATGAGTAATAAGGAGGTCAAATTAGAAGTCAGAGGTAGGAAGATTCTTTACCATCTTGACCCAGACACTAACTTCACAGAATTCTCTACTGTAGCACTCCCCACATTCCTGCCTCCCTTTCCAACTCTGCACCCTGTAATCAATATGTTAGATAAATGTCCATTATCATTATTATTAACTAAAGTTCTATGTAGGGGAAAAGACTTTAAGGAACAGTTTAAAATGCCATTAATTAGTTAGTTTTAGGTAAGTTCTTTAATGTAGCCCAAATGCTATATAACTGTACTTGTTCACTTTTTTCCTCTTTAGCACTATCCATTAGAGGGCAGTATGAGAACAGAAATGATTATGATTTGTTAGGATGAGAGTTTATTGACCATTTTCTTTACTTGAGAATCAGCTATCTGAGTCTAAAATAAAAGTTATCTAATTGTAGCAAAGACCTGGCATGAATCTCTTGGACTTGAGTGTTTAAGAATCACAGAAGTGGACAATAATATTGAGTCCATCCGACTTCTTTTACAGATGATAAATCAAAACTATGAATGCCTTTCCTCCTAAAATACTTTGTAGTTAACTGTTGTGTATTTATTCAAATTATATTTATCAGTGTATACTTATACAGGATTTCCCAAAAATCTTTGTGCAGTTTTAAGCTTTAAAATGGAAGAGAAAAAAAAAGCTATTAAAGCTTAAAACTGCATTAAGACTTTTGGGACACAGCGCATCTGTACTTCTTGTCTTCCCCATTAGAATTTCAGCCCCTTGAGAGTAGGGATTTTTTTATGCTATGTAGTTCTATCCCTAATGCCTAGCACAGTACTTGGCACATAGTAAAAGTGCTCGATTGGTAGGTTGATTGGTGGATTTATTGGTTAAGTAAGGGATTTTTCCTATGGTTCCAGAATTTATTGACAAATTTTCTGGTTCTTAGTCCAATGATCTTTCCACTCTGCCACCCAGACTGTGCAGCATGAGATATAATCATTTTTAGCTTTTTCCTTATTGAATATACGGAGTGTTAAAGTGATATTAGGTAGGCCCATTCTCATTCTATAATATACCAAAAAGCTAAACCCTTCGCAGTTTTGCAGCTAATGACTTTCAAAAGACCCTACCAATACTTCCTAGCAATAGAGAAATAATCTATTATCTTTCTAAGGAAATACCATATTCATGCTGTGTTCTATTTTCTATTTTTATTAACAATTTCTCTTATCCACAGCATGATTTCTTTTAGCTTTTCAGTTTGAAACCCAGTGATAACAATTAAAAAAAAAAACAACCTGATAGTACTGTTGTCATATATACCAGTCTTTGAGTCTTTAATTTATGAACACATGACTTGAAAAATCACGGGGGAACTTGGTTTAAATCTTATAGAATTTGAGATGTGACTTGTAGGAGGAGGATAAAAGATCCTGGAAAACACCATTTGTTTCTTTTGTTTGTTTGTTTGTTTGTTTGTTTGTTTTGCAGTGATCAAATGCTCAGCTACAACCTTGGCAGGAGGCTCCCAGCTGACCATGTGAGTGGGTATCTCCAGTTCAAAGTTGAGATTACATCTTCTATTCATGAAGGTGAGGTATCTGTGTGAGTAGATGCTACTAGAGGAATTAAAGAAACTTGAGTTTCTTTAAAGTATCCTTTTGTATTTGTGCAGTTCCATCAAAGAAAGGGAGCTGTCAGAAGAAATTAATTTACCAAGGCAAATGTTAAAATCCATTTCACAGAAGCGTCTGGGTCATGCCTGTCTTCTGAAATCAGGATGTAGTTTTTTCAAGGATATTCCAAATATCAAATATCAGCTGTCATATCAACCTGGCTTGACATGTAATAAGTGAGTTTAGTATGTAGGAAAACCTTTACAACTCATTAATGATGAGAAGAGTCCCCAGTGGGTTGGTCAAATGTTCCCATCAACATATATGGCTAACGTACACGGTAATAAAAATTAAATTTTTATGACTATTCAATCTTCTTCTATCGGGTAAGATTTAATTTAGGAGTCCCCTACAATGTGCTGTGTCCTCCCTCACAGTCAGCCTCATTTTTTTAATGCCATCATGATGTACGTTGCGTCCACTTTTCATAGACTCCCAAGGGGCTGCTTTTTTCTTCTCTCGTCTTCCTTTTGTACTAAAGGGCCGACTAGGAAGTCTTACCCGTTGTATTCAGTTAAGTACAAAAGCCATATAACCCAAGATGTCATTAAGTCTTTTACTACTGATCTAGAGTGGATTTTTGTTTGTTTGTTCGTTTGTGCCAATTAAGGGGAAAACAAGCTGGTCCTAAGAGTTTAATGAACATCAGTGGGAACAGAATTTGTGGGCATATACATAAACCTTTCCTCCTCCATTGTTTCTTTAATTAAATTGAATGCAATAAAGGTTACTTGAGTTCTGCTAACATGCCCTGTGATTAAGGCAAACTAATTGCATATATTTACTTGCCAAATGTTGTGTTTCTATTTAGATGCTTCACCAGAAGCAGTTGGCACCATCCTTGGAGTGAATTCTGTGAACGGAGACCTGGGGAGTCCCTCTGATGATGAGGACATGCCAGGGGGACATCATGACTCCCCTCCAGTCTGTTCTAATGGTCCAGTATCTGAGGAAAGTGCTCCAGATGGCACTCCAAAGCATTCCTTTAGGACTAGCTCTACTATGGAAATAGACCCGGAGGAACTAACCTCTAGTTCTTCCAGGACCTCCCCTCCCAGAGGACGGCAGGATTCACTGAATGATTATCTAGATGCCATTGAACACAATGGTCATTCCAGGCCTGGGACATCAGCCTGTGCTGAGAGGTCCCTTGGAGCTTCTCCCAAACTAAGGAGTAGTTTCCCCACTGATACCAGACTCAATGCCATGCTTCACATTGACTCTGATGAAGAGGATCATGAGTTTCAGCAAGATCTAGGTTATCCTTCTTCCTTGGAAGAGGAAGGGGGGGTTAGTAATGTTTAGTAGTGCTTCAAGAACTGACAAAGGCCACTCAATGAGTCAGGCAAAGCCAGACACCAACACTGCTGAGGGGGAGGAAGCCCCAGCAGTTGAAGCTGTTTCACTGGAGGATAAGCAGGAGGAGGAACTTCCAGAGGTTCCTGACAGTTCCTCGGTTTCAGATGCAGCTGTAGAAGAAGGAGAAAATGGCCAGGAACCTCAGCCAAGTGCAGAGCAACGCAGTGGTGAATTATGTGACTCTCAAGAGGGTGACCAGCCTACCAGTGATGCACCCCGGAAATTCAGATATGCTGGGAGAAAGCAGAAGGGCCATCAGCGAAACTGAGTCTATTGACCAAGGCTCTGAACCTTCCCAGGTATCATCTGAAACAGAGCCTAGCGACCCTGCGCGGACTGAGAGCGTCAGTGAGGCGAGCACCAGGCCCGAGGGAGAGAGCGATGTGGAAGGGGCTGATAGTTCCTGCAATGAGAGTGTTACCACACAACTCTCTTCTGTGGATACCCGGTGCTCTTCTCTGGAGAGTGCCCGGTTTCCTGAAACTCCAGCCTTTTCATCTCAGGAAGAAGAAGAGGGAGCCTGTGCTTCATCACCTGCCAACAGTGGCCCTGCTGCAGGGTCACAGGATTCTGTATGCACCCCTGGGTCTTTGCCTGTGGTAAGGGTACCCAGTGGTCAGGAGGAAGGGCAGGCAGCAGAAATGACTGCCATGCCTGATGGAGAGGAGATGGGGGAAATCTGGCAGAGGAGGAGTAGTCTTCAGGCTGCTGCGGAGAACGAGTCACATGAAGAAGACCCCGGAGATGCCCAAGAAGCTTGTGAAGGCGCCACTGCTCAGGCTGAAGGAGCTACTGGAGGTAACAAGAATGGGTAAAACCAGGGGCAAATGATTTTCAAATGGTGTTAGTGAAACTGCTGAGTAATTAGTAAAGTTTTCACTGAAATACGTCCATTCATAGACAATCCTTTCCTCTTAAGTTTAATTTTTGCAAGTAGCTTGCCTATTATTGCTAATGGTTAAAAGGGTAATTAATGGCTGTCCATCAGACATATAATATAGTACTAAGGCAGCAGAGTATTTATTTCAATACAATACTTCATATTTATGATGTTTGGGTGAAAAAGATTTGCCATCATCGCTTCCCCTCTCCTCTCCCACACACCTTAATAAATAATCCCCATAAGTTGTCTTGGACACAATTTATCATCCCATGACCGACTCAATGATAAACCTCTCTGAACTGAACTGGCAGGTATACAGTCTCTTGTTAGATTCACATTCAAAAGCCCTTTCAACTTGGTAGAACTGGAAGGAGCTCATGGGCCACTAGTGTAGCCCTTAAGAATCCAGGGTAGATTATCTGTTCCAGAATGAGGCTTTGTAATATACAGTGGCCGTGTGCAGTGAAATTTCCCTAACGTGATTAGGAATTTCTCAGTCTGCCAAAGGAAATTCTCAAGTCATATGTAACAGACCTCAGCCAGGATCTGTGATATGCAATCGCTTTAATTAGGAAGAAGAAAGTGTATTATGGGGGTGGGGGGAGGAGGAGAGTTTAATCTGAAACAAACAGCCTGGTTACAATAGCAGTGTAATTAGTCCTCAGAGCCTTACAAGAACCATGAAGTTATATCTTTGTAAAAATATGGCCTTGGAAATGAAAGCCTAAGCATGTGCTTTGCATAAAACATTTCTCTGTTTCTTGCCACCTGCAGCATGAGAAATGTCAGCCAGATTGCTGAGCATGATTACACTTGAAGAATAAATAATGCTAGTTTGTTGGCCAAAAGGCAATTTAAGACCTCAGTTTGCAAATAAAATTTTGGCTTTCCCAAAGTGAACATGCTATACAGGAGACTGACTATATAGTAGCACAAAGTAAAATAGGACATTTCTAAATGTTTTATTTTTGATAGATTAACAAAATCAAAGGAAAACTTTCATCAGGTGTCTAAAATAGCAAAGGTCTACTCCACCTAGGCTTTTTTCCTAGGAAAAGGTAGCTTATATTGAAGTTTATTTGATTCCTATCTAAATTATTCACCTCATTCCTTCTTCCGTTTCTATTCACTCTATGTTAGGAATTGTGATTTTAAAGCTTCTCAAAGTGTTGGGATAGAGGCCTGTCTTGGGGTGACGGGAGGTGGAGCATGTGCATGTCTGTGTAGGGTCACTTGTACTTTATAAGCATGCAGTTCTGTTACCCAAGTCTTTACCTAGGAGATAAAGCTAGAGGGAGGAAAAAAAATTCAGATACATTTTACAGGGTATTTCAGCACTGAAAGGAAAAGATAATACCCAGATAACTTTTTACCTTTAATCCTAGGTTCTCAAGCCAACGGCCACCAGCCATTGCGATCGCTACCTTCAGTACGTCAGGATGTTAGCCGATACCAGAGGGTGGACGAGGCTCTGCCACCAAGTGAGGACCTGTTAACTAAAGGGCTCACCTTTTAATCAAAGGGTTCAAGGTAGAAGCAGCTGCAAGGATAACAGGGTAGACCTGTACATGTGATCTAAGACACTGATGCAGGGGACCCTAAGGAGAAAGAATCAGGGTATTTACTCTTGAGATAGAGGTTAGGACTCCTTCCTTGTACTGCTACTTGCTAAAGTCGAGAAGCGAAACTTTTCTTGCAAATTGAGTTCCAAGTGAATAATAATGTAGTGATGCTGAGCTGAGCAGATGCAGGCAGTCTGGACATTTGGAAGAGAATGGAAATCTATTCTTTTTCTTGGATGTTTAATGCCCAAATGAAGTTTGTTAGCCTCCAAATAATGTTGTGTCATTTTTCCCAGGGAGGTGTAGACTCATTCCAGCTTTTAATCTCTGACCCATTCTGGGCCACAGTAATGAACTTTAATAAGTAGCCACCGAAACTAGAGCTTTGAAATGTGACTTTTTGTCGTTATTGTTGTTTTCTTTATGGAGAGGAATACAAATACTTATAGCGTAAAGGAAAGATGATTGAGATGCGTGGATGTGGGAAGTGGTAACACAAACTGCATTCACCAGTGAATGGGTGAATGAGGCCCATGGCTAACCATTATCCAGGCATAATTAAATACACTATTAAAACTCCTGGGGCTCCTTTGGCAAATCAAATTATGTAAGGACAAAACATTATCACCAAACATTTAGGAAGGAATTTTAAAAGTACCACGAGCAAAGTTCTAGTTCAGTAAACATCGCTTCTCTTTATCCTCACTGCTTTTTCTTCTGATGATTCAACCTCTCTACTTACCCTGCTTTACATGTGTTTTTGGAAGGAGGGTGATGATCTCAAAACTCTGCTATTTGAAAACAAAAAGAAAAAAATAGATTAAAATGTAAAAAAAGAGAGAGAGGGTAACAGGCTAGCACCACACCATGTGACACATATTTAAACAGACACTTGGATGGATGCTATGTGTGTACTGTCTAGACAAAGATGAATAGTGCCATATGAACTCTATCAAGGCATGAAAAAATTGACTATGCTTGCATTTGAAGTAGTGAACAAAGCTTGTATGTTATCATTACTTTAGGTTATTTATTATTCAGAGTAATGGAAATTTCCTTGATAATCAGCTTTGAAGTGTTTTGTATTCTTTTTAAATAGCTTTTCTCTTATCTCCCTTCCCCTTCCTTCTTTCCCCTCCTCTTTTCTCCTTTTTCTTCTCTTCTCTCGTCTCCTGTCCTCTCCTCTCCACAAAAGACTAGTTTAATATCTTAAACTATTGTTATTAGTGGCAAAAAGAAAAATTATTTCCTTATTGTTTACATTGAGAAAGAATATATTCCTGAGTGATTTATGGATGCAATTTCAGGGCAAGATGAATTAGAATACCAGGAAACAGCCTTTTAGCTATTTCTTGTTTTGTTTTGTGTATGTGGATTTATAAGCAAGATTAATAAGTAAGTAATAAGTTACCATAACCTAGACACAATAAGGATAGGGTACAGTGGATGGAGTGCTAGACCTGGAGTTAGGAAGACCTGAATTCAAATTCCACCTTAGTTACTAGTTCTGTGACCCTAAATAAGTGGGTAAGTCACTTAGCTTCTGTCTGCCTCAGCTTCCTTATCTATAAAATGGGCATAATAATGTCACCCACCTCCCAGGGTTGTTGTGAGGGTCAGATCAGATATTTGTAAAGTGTTTTGTAAACTTTAAAGCACTATGTAAATATTAGCTATTCTTCTAATTGTTATTAAGTATGTAGGTAACTGATATCCTCTTAGCCACATTTATAATTTTTATTGTGGTTTCTAAAGCCTGCCAAACTGTAAAGAGATGGGGGGAAAGGGGCAGAAAACCTTAGAAATCATCTAGTCCGACCTCTTCATTTCAGAAATGAGGAAATTTTGGCCTAAAGAGATAAAAATTATTTGCCCTAGATCATATTGGTAGTGTTAAAATGGGGATTCTAAGGTGAGTCAGCTGACTGCAGATCTCATGTTCTTTCCTCTGAAACATACTGCAAAGGAAAAGATTCTATTACCTGACTTATTTGAAGGGATTCTTTTCTAACAAAGTACCAATTACCTTTATTAGCTTTAAATGAAGTTAAAAAAGAAGAAGAAAGTAGCTTATTAGACCACAGAGGGGAACAATTTTGGCTAATTATAAGAATTTTTAAAAATCCATGTTGTTAAAGCCTAAGCAGCGTGTGAATTTTTGAAATTTTGTGCATTTCAGGTCTAGGCAGATCTAGCATAGGGGCATGATATAGGTAGTTGCCTTAAGGTTCCACATGCCCAGATATTTCATATTTCATAATTCAAAATACTTTTTTGAATGACTTTTTATAAATGTACCCATTTTTAATGCTGGTGGCATAATAAATAAAGTGCCGGTCAGGAAGACCCTTTTTCTTGAATTCAATTCTGGCCTCAGACACTTACTAGCTATGTGACCCTGGGCAAGTCACTTAACCCTGTTTGCCTCAGTTTCCTCATCTGTAAAATAAGCTGAAAAACCCCAAATGGTGTCAAAAAGAGGTAGACATGACTGAAAAATGACTGAACAACAACAAATTTTTTATGCTAGTAAATTCTCTACAGACTTGTTGGTGGTTTTTCATTTTGTGAGGTAATGTGTTAGAGAAAACCCTCAAAGACTTTTGTGAATAGTCAGTTAAAAAAAAAAGTATTAAGCACTTACTGTGTGCCACTACTGTGCTAAGTACCAGGAATACAACCACGTAGGAGGTGCAATGTTTAAATCAATGCTTTATCTCAGTTTTAAGCATGTTGCATATTGTAGTTTGAGTATGTCTATTTCCACTAAACTCTCTCCTCTTTTTACCCACATGGTTTCCAGTGCCCCCGCAAAGTTCTTTTCTGTTTGCTTTCACCACATGCCTATCCTTGCTAACTCTCTGTTCTGTCCCCCAGTGAATTCTCTGCCTTTTCCTAACTGGCCAGTCCCACTAGCATGACTAACTATTTCTTCAAAGTCCAGCCCAACCATTCTGAGTCCCATGATGCTTTACTTCTCCGTGTACCACCTTAAGGCGATCCTGAGAGGCTCAAACTGATGTCAGCGATTGTGTTTGTTCACCAACACTGCATGTCAGTTTATTAGTATTACCTGATCTGAAATTCAAAGGTGAAGTACCAGGGTTGATGGATGAAGACAAATGAAGATAAGCTTTTAAAAGGTTATCTAGAAGCAGAGTGTTAACTTATACTATTTTTTTTACAAAAAAAAATTTTATAGTCTTGTGAGCTTCTCTGATTGTAGGCAAACTTCAACTTAACAAGCATTTATTAAGGCATTCAAGGTTCCATAGCATGGCCCTTGAAGTCCGTGCCCCCAGATTCCATTACAACTGAAAGTATGTTTAATATGTTATTTGTGCTTTATTCTGGAAGAGGTCCAATGACATCAGTAGAGTGATGTCTTGACTTGCAAGTGACTTGGATTTAAGTGAAGCAGAGCTGTGTAAAGTTATCAGCCTCACTCTCTCCTCCATGGTCATCTGAGTCTAGTGGCAAGATATAGATCGGGACAACTGGAGATGACCCCAGATACAGTGGGAGACCTTGGTCTTTTGAAAAACCTAAGGTCTTTCCCAGGTCTCAGTTTGTCTGAAGCAATACCCTTTCAGTGATTTAGGGCTAGGTAAGAAATGGAGCAAAAGATAGCCTAGTCTGCCTACTTTAAGGAAAAAAAAAAAAAGTCAAACTGGGAGGGCAAGACCCAAGGTTTCTGGCCAGAACAGAAACAATTGCCATTTACACTCACTCTGAGCCATCAAAACCCAAACAATGACCAAGTGAGGCTTGGATTGGGGCCTGTTGTTGGCCAATCAATGAGAGCCAGAGTGATTTGAGTTTAAGGCATGGTCAAGTAGTTCCATTTGAATCCCAATACTGAATCAAACATACACAGCAAGACTGTTCATATTAGGAAGATGTGAGTTCAAATCCTTTCTCAGACACTTGCTAACTGTGTGGTCTCAGGCAAGTCACAACCTCTTCTTGCCTCCGTTTTCTCAACTTTAAATGAGGGTAATAATAACATCTACCTCCCAGGGTTGCTGTGAGGATCAAAGGAGCTTTACAAATGGATTTGCCAAGCACTTGGCATAGTGCATGACATATAGTAGGCCCTTAATAAATGCTTATTTCCTTCTTTCCTTCCTTCACTACCTCCTGTGACAATCTTTGCTTCCTGATATCTCAGAACTTCTGTGGGAAGGCCCTGATCACCATGATCACTAACTTACCCACACCTTGCTTTTTTTTTCTTTTAACTTACATGAAAATCATTTCCTTGTCCTTTTGTCTAAAGTTTACATGCTAGCATATAGTTGGGCAAGACCCTGGAGAGATCACAACAGTTACTGAAAGATTTTTTAACTCATGCTTTCAAGAGTTCGTTTTCTAATTGAACATGCTACTGTGAGTTTCCATTTCATGGTTTGTCTTTGTAGTTGCTTGGCTTCTTGTTACTTAAAGCAGCTTTTTCAGTTCTGCTCTCCACTCCCTCATATCAGGCTATGAGATACTAAACTTTGACCCATAGCAAGCTGAGAAGATGACCTACCATTTTGTTCTCAAAAATCTTGTCCTACTTCTGACCTTGAAGAGCTATAATGGTGCCTATGAGCCTATGGGCCACTTCAATTCAACAAACATTTATTTACTTCAAACTGCTGCTTGAAAGAAATCCTTATGGTTCCTAGAAAATGAGGAAGCTTCTGGCTTACATGCTATAACACCATCTAGTACTTCACAGTGAAATTGCTGGAGGGTGATTCTCTAGTGTGAATGTAGTGAGAATAAGAATTCCCTTCTCATTCTGAAGGCTGGTGGCTAGAGACAGTGCAGGTCCAGCGAAGCCACTAAAATGTTATTATAGAGACAAATATTTAGTTTTAGGGTATCACAAAGACAAGGGTAGAAAAAAATGGGCAAGCTCATTTCCTTCTGGAATTTGTTTTGGCTTTGAATGGATCTGTCCTGAACTTATTTTAAACAGTTTTGCTTTTCTTGGGTTGGCCATATGTACTGCTGTATTTCTGTAGATGACTTCTGTTACTTGCAACATAAATATTCATTCTTATCTGAGTTGGTAGGATTCAGATAACTTTCAAATCTGGTGCCCTCTTGAAAGAATTGATGTGTTAGGGAATGGATGTGAATTACATCTGAAGAATATGCATTTAGTTACCTGTGGGCTATGACCCCTGCAAAGCAATAGGGGGGAGGTGTTTTCTCATATTTCTTCTTTGGGGCCAAATTCCACAAGTCTAATTTCAGTTGTTAAAAATCAGATGGTACTGAATCTCTCCATATCGTGATTTGGGGGGAGGGCAGAGTGGGAAATCATTCCTTAAATTATTGTGATTATTTTGACCCTGGAATCATAGAATTATATGTTAAGAACTGGAAAGACTTCTATTACTGAGGCTTAGAAAAAGTGAAGTGATTTGCCCAAATTTAAATAGCAAGTTCATGACAGAGTTAAGTCTAGAACTGTAGTCTTCTGCCTCAAGTCTGGGCCTGTTCCACTTTGCCATGCCGTAGCTGCCACCAGGATAAGCTTGAGCATATTGACCTACTTCCTCCCTCCATTAAGGAAGAGTTTAAAAACATTGTTTTACTGATTTCCTGCTTCTAACAAATATTGACTTTGTAACCTCAGGCAAGTCTCTTAAGTTCCTGGTGTTCTAGGCAACTGTGAGACTTTAAGTTGCAGAAAAAGTACGGACTGACCTACATTGATGAGGGCATTTCCTCATGGGGCAGTTTTCTGTGTCAGTGAAACCACAAATGCAGACCCTAATCCCTGTTTTACTCATTGATACTTCCCAGTTCCCCTTTCTCATTCTGTAAAAATAAGAAATTTCCTAGTGTAAGTCTCATTCCCAAATCTATCTTCAGAATGAGTCTAGTATTAACCCTTTAGGGAATCCCTCTCTGTAATTAGCAGAGTACAAACCTACTATAATAATGACTAAAGAACCATTGGCATTGCAGATCCCCTCTATAAGACCCAAAGGAACAAAAAATTTAGGTGATGACCTGGAATGGGCTGGTGCCTGACTCACACTGATGCCGTGGTAGTTTAGTTCAGTAGTGGAACAAAATAAAATGTCCATAGGTCATGTGACAAGAAGGAAGGAAATAGCATTTGTTAAGCGCCTACTATGTACCAAGTACTATGCTAAGAACTTATAAACATTATCTCATTTGATCGTCACAACAAACACGGGAGGTAGGTGCTGTTATTACCTCCATTTTACAGGTGAGGAAATGGAAGCAGACAATAATTAAGTGACGTAACTAGGGTGGCCCAGCTAGTATATGTCTCAGGAGGGATTTGAGCTCATCATCCTGACTCCAGGCCCAACACTCTATCCATTGTGCCGCCTAGGTATCTCAGTTGATGAATGGTGGTTTACTTAGCCATAGTAGAAGAAAAATATTCTACAGGAATATTCAACAGGGACACTGCATTGATTCAGCAGAGTTGGTTGTGCTGATGGTTCATGGTCAGAAGCCTCAGAGAGCTATTTGGAGTGGCTTGTGTAATGAACACTGGTCTGAGAGTCAAGGAAAACTTAAAATCATACATACGTGAGGTAGGAGAACTCTTAGAGATCATTCATTAATCCAACTACCTCATTTTACAGATGAGGAAATTGATGCCCAGAGATGTAAAGTGACCTGCCCAGAGTCATACCTGCATTTGAGTTTTGGCCCTGTCATCAATTTCCTATGTAACCCTGGCCAAACGACTCAAGTCTCTCCAAGACTCAGTTTCATCACCTGTAGAATGCAGGGATTAGACTAAATTAGTTCTAAAGTCCCTTTCCATTCTAACATTCCATGGTATTTCAGAGAAATTTGACCAGGAAACATTGTAAGCTTACCAGTAATTATGTTCAAACAAAACCATATATAATGACATTCCACTCCAAATTCCCAATCAAACTGTCTCTTTGCCAAATTTTCCCCTAAGTTCAAATCCAGTTAGGAATCATCTATGGAACCTGAACTGATAATGTTCTTGCCATCCAACAATAATTAACCTATCCTGTGTCATGTTCCCTCCAAATTCTTTCCCAAATGGGGAATTTCATTTCTCAAACTTATTTGATTTTACTCCTCTGAACAATAAAACTACCTATTCCTCTAGCTAATTCACATCTTCTCTTCAGCTGGAATAGAGAGTCCCCAAATTCTTTCATTACAAGGAGATGAAGCCCTGTGCTGATTGTTAGATTCAATGAGATTAAAAGCATGTGAAAGCACTTCCTAAGTGTAATGTGCCTTGTGAATGTCAGTTGTTAATAATTCAAAAGAGCTAAATTAAGCAGTGTTAATAAAATGGTCATTGTGGCATTCCTAAGTCCAAAAAGACGAATGTATCCTGGCTAACTTTGAAAATATTATTAAGCACATTTTTTCCAAAAGGCTAAATATCCAATCCCAAAATATGGCAGAATGAAGAAATAAATGTAAGGATCTGAATTTCAAACCTTCTTGTTTAATTTTAACATCATATGTCTATGAGAGAGCTGGTTATTAGAAAATGAATTTCCTGATTACCAAGGTTTCAGGCATTTTTTCTATTCAGTGCTTATCAAGATAATTTTAGTAGAAGATGGGCAAGGAACTCTAAATTTTGTCAAAATTAGAGTAGCTCTGAGCTATTCAGGCTATATAGCAGCATAATTCTCCCAGTCTTCGTCCATATCCCAAGTAACACCAACTTTACCTGCCTTAATATATACATCCACTTAGTAATTTGAACACTACTCTCTCAGATAATTCATAGTCTTCTGAGCATTACATCTTCAAAGTACCCGTCATCTGCCGTCCTAATTTTAGAAAACCCTGATTGGCAATTATTATGGTAAGGTTTTATCTATGAGGAATCTTCATTGGGAAGACTGCTTCCCCTAGGCTGTCTCTCTAGGCATAAGTGTTTGAACCAAAAAAAGGAAAACATCTCTGCAAATATTTTTATTACCACCATCTTAAAATGTAAAATGACAGCCAATAAGATGAGGTAGTATGTTGTAGATTTGTCTACTTATCATCTGTGTAATATTAGGTAAGTCACAATCTCTCTAAGAATCATTGGAATATGGGAGCAATAAATTCTCATAGAGTTATGTGTTAAAAGGACCAAATGAGAAAGTGTATATGAAAGTGCATGTAAATGGTAAAGGATCATATATACATAGAGGATAGTATTATCAACATTAGTAATAGTAACAAATCTAAAGGGAAATTGCAAACATTTCTAAGCATTACTTGATATTTAGTAAGAGGTTCTGTGTTAGGTATCTGATCCCTAATAATGCACATCCTAGTCTGTGTTAATAATTATTATTTCCCATTAATTTTATTTTGAGAGTGACCTCATAGACTCTTAGTCTGACCATATACACATGATTAAAATGGTGAAATCTGAAAGATACAATGGTTAAAGTAGAGTGAGAATACTTCCAATTGTTTGATTCAAAGCCTGGTGTGTAAGGATATGTTAGTTTTCTATTAATACTCTCTTTAGGAGAAGGCCTTCCCCCTTAGCTTTGGCCAGTACATAGGCTGCAGTCAGTCTTGAGGGGTCCTTTTCTGGGGGGAGAGAGAGAGAGAGAGAGAGAGAGAGAGAGAGAGAGAGAGAGAGAGAGAGAGAGAGAGAGTGAGTATGTGTGTCAGTGTCATTCTGTGTTTTGGTTTGATAAAAAATGGCCCCAGAAATTTAGGGGCGGGGAGAAGCAAATCTCAGGAAGTTATAAATATATCATACATTGGCTTTATTTTGTGTGTATATTTTAGTAAGCAAATTTTTCAGATAAATTTTCAGAGCAGGGGGATATCTGACAGAATATTAATTTACTTTGAGTCTTAAAGAAAGCATAATTGCTTAGCCAAATTTTTATCATTTTTTAAAGACAGAGAGGGAGAATATATGGAAACTTTATAGGTAGATACAGAAATTGCCTCATTCTAGAAAATTACTGCTGTTTGGAATGGAGCAGTGACTAGATTATGAATGAATACGCACTGGATGATCATTGGGCTGCAGAGATCACAGTCCTCTTGGTGATGAAATTCTATGATGAACTACTCAACATATGTAGAGAAGTTGGTCCTACCTAGAATGGCTAGCTATTGGTCTTTCCTCAGGGCTAGAAAATTTATAGATTTACAGACTCTTTGAATAAAATAATTGTAAATACAAATAAAGGAAACCAATACTCAATTTATGTACTATAATATATATGTGCACATACTGATTGTGCTATTTAAATGTAGACATTATTATAAACTATATATGGAGTATAATTGGTATCATATTGCTTGCCTTCTCAGTGAATGAAGGGGTGGGAGGGAGTGGGAGGGAAGGAGAGAATTTGGAACTCAAAATTTAAAAAGAATAGAATGTCAAAAATAAATGAATAATAATGAAAACTATATGTAGGATATATATCTACATACTATTGAATTTTCAAGTCTTTTATTCTAAGGAAAGACATGTAAATTTGGAGACACTTCAAAAAGTTTGTGTCCTGACTAGGATATACTTAATAAGCTGTCACCAAAAAAAGGTTCTGGAATCTCAAAGGGGAAGTTATACAAAGAGGTGTATGATTATAAACACAAAATTACAGTATGTAAGTCTTAGGAAACAGTGCTGAACTCAGTAAACACAATTATAGTCTTACCACCTAAAAATTCTTGTTACATTGCTGCTCTTTAGATTGGGAGGCTCGGATCGACAGCCATGGAAGAATATTCTATGTGGATCATGTAAACAGAACAACAACCTGGCAGAGGCCCACTGCTCCCCCCGCCCCACAGATACTTCAGAGATCCAATTCCATACAACAAATGGAGCAGCTAAACCGTAGGTGAGAATGACCACCATGGTGTCACTCTTTGGGTGGTGGTAACTGGGGAGGTGGTTGTCTCATTGTCCTCGGATGTCAATATTAAGCCACTGCCATAACTCTTTTAATTTGATGGACCTCATTCTGGTGTGTGTGTGTGTGTGTGTGTGTGTGTGTGTGTGTGTGTGTGTAGTAGATATTTATGAAGGGAGGTAAGTAGCTAACGTTCATTTGGAAAATGGAGGGAAACAGTAAAAACAATGATTTTAACAAATAAAAAGTTTTGAAGTCTGATAAAAACATGCTTACCCTTTCTAAATTCAAGTAATTATTTTCTAATCCATGGGGCATTCATTCACAATGCAGTTTTATGCAGAGGTTTTTTTTTGGGGGGGTGATTTTTTTTTCTTTTTGGTTTTTCTTTTTGATTGCAAAATTTTCAAAAAACTGGAGCAAAAAAGAGAGCTGAAGTTTCACATTAAACATTTAATAATTTAGTTTTCCTTAAATGATACCAAGCTTTCTCAGATTTAGTTAATGTACCAAGAAATTTTCTAAGAAGTAATGGACAAATAAACCTAATTTAATTAGGGATCTGATGTCAAAGAGAAAAAAAAAAGAGTAGATGGTTGTGTAGACAGTGTATATATCTCCTTGCTTTTGTGAAATAACTCGACTGGATCTTTGTTTTTTTATGGTCTGCATTATGTAACTCTAGGGTTTTGATGGCAGGTATCAAAGTATCCGCAGAACAATGACTAATGAAAGGCCTGAAGAACACACTAATGCCATTGATGGAGCTGGAGAGGACACAGACTTCCATCAGTCCAATGCAGGTTAGAGTCAATTGCAATGTTGAATCTTGGCAAGGTGAGGAATCATCTGGGCATAATGATTCCCGAGAGAGTATAATTTATTTATTGGGCAAATAAATTCTCCTTTTTAGTGTATGACATGGGTCATAAGAACAACAACAACAAAATGGTAAAGCTATAGTAGATGAACTTTCTGTTGGGATTATAAAAAGTAAAGTTTAGGAAATAGGCCACATAATCCCAAATGACATGCTTATCTTTGTCTTTCATCTGGATGGTTGGGAAACAAAAATTTACTCATTTAAAAAACTTACTAGTTGCAAAAGATGAAACTGTTCTATTCTAATATTATCAAGTACACTTAGGATTTAGCATATTAATTTAGATCAAAGGCTAGCCTTTTTGATGGCATAAAAGTTTCTGTTTAAGTCCAAGTGTACTTAATGAAATGCCATATATTCTTTGCTTTTTACTTCATGCTTCAGATCAAAGGGGGCAGAACTAGTCCAACTGCTGAAGAGGGTTCTCTTGAAAGGTTTTATTTGTTCCTAATAGATTTTCGACGGGAGAATGTGCTGCCCCACTCTACCTCCAGGTCCAGGCTGACATTACTGTTACAGTCTCCGCCTGTGAAATTTCTCATAAGCCCAGAGTTCTTCACCGTGCTGCATTCTAACCCTGTGAGTATTCCCTTTTGCCTGGGGTTCAAATCTGCATGGATATGATAAATAGGAATTAGAGGCCTAGAGTGTGGGGGGAGAGAGAAGGGATGGTTATGTATCTGCATTCAGCTTTTTTTTTTCCCCTGAGCCTTGCTAAGTGACTGTATTGAGCTTTGGAAGGAAAGAGATAAGCTTTGTTTTATATTGAAGAAAATTGTAACCCACTGATGAAAGACAAAATTAAAGCATTTAAGGTCAGGTTTGGAAAGGATGTAGGGGGAACGTATGAGAAGGGGTTGAACCATTTCATATTGTAGAAGTACTGAATCTGAGGTCTGATTGTGAAGCCTCACTCATGCTTATGAGCTGGGTGGTCTCAGGCAGGTCATTTCACTTTTTCATTTGTAAAATGAGGGCATTGAATCAGAGCAGAGGTTCCTAACCCTGAATTTGGTTTTTAAAAAATATATATTTTAATAACTATTTCAATATAATTGGTTTCTTTTGTGCTCTTATGTATTTAATTTTATGCATTTAAAAATATGATTTTTGAGGAGGGACTCATGGGCTTCCCTATAGTGCCAAAGGGGCCATGACACATAGGAAATGGTCATGAACTCCTAGAATAGGTGACTTCTTAGACTCCTTCCAGCTCTGACTCCAATTATGATCCCAGTCTTGATGTTGTCTAAGGTGTGTGTGATGGATAGAGAGGCCTTGAAACCAAGAACTGGATTCAAGTTCAGCCGCTGCCATATAGTGTTTGTGCGATACTGGGCAAGTCACTTGATCTCTCTTGAACAATTCTCTAAGGCTATGAGGTGCACAGAAGGTACTGACGTGCATCAGAAGAGGGCATTTCTTAACCTGAGAGTTTTCTATTCCCATGAAACTTCAGGTCCATGCACTATCCCTAAGACCAAGAGAGTTTGCCTAGAGCCCAGAGGTAGCTACAAACTTCTCTCCCCTTTGGGAAGTTTGCCTTCTTATTTATCCACATTCTTCCCATGAGTTCTCAAGTATAGAAATCCTGGTGTTGGTAATTAGGGCTTTACCACTACACAGGTGATTGTAGTTTTAGCCTACATCCCAGTGCTGCCCCACTGTTATCAATAAAATACCAAAGGATTTTTTAACAACTCCCTTTTCTCTCTCCACATCTCTCTAAATCTTCTTCAAAACCCAAATTCTGTAGCTAGCCATTGAAATGTCCTCACTTTTAGTTTTCCTGACTTTCCATTTTCACCTTCTTATCTATATTCATGGATGATACCTGGGATAGAAAATCTCCTTACTTACTTACAAGAAGTATTTATTGAATGCTCTTTGTTACCCTGTGTCATAGGAATTAACCCAGGGAATAAAATAGAAGACTCAATTTTGTTGCTGAGTAGTTGGGGAGATGAGACATACTGTAAAGTGATCATGTAATCTCTGTGGCCTTCCCTCTCTTTCGCATTTAATCTCATTCTCCTTCATATTCTAATTATTTTTATATTTGTTCTTTCCCTCACTCCCTTATAAGCACTCTAAGAGTGGGGCCTAGGTAATTTCTATCTTTGTTTCTCCAGTGCTTAGCATAGTTCTGTTAACCCCTTGATCCTGTGACCTCTCCCTCTAATGGAATGCTTCCTCCTAAAACCTCCATTTTAAGGAGGAGGCCAGGCTAACCATGCCTTCATTCCTCTCCAAGCTGCACTGCTGACTCACCATACTTTTTCCTACTGTGCCCTTAGGCCCAGTACCTGCATCCGCTCCCTACTTTTTCAGCTTTCATTTATGTTATGTTCCCTCATTCAAATATCAGTACCTTGTGGTCAGGGACTGTCTTTCTTTTTGCTTGTCTTTGTATTCCCAAAGCTTAGCAGAGTGCCCAGTACAATCTAAGGGCTTCATAAATACTCATTGACTTGACTTGTTTGTTTTGTTTGGAAACAAAAGCAAGTATCTGTCACATAAAATGAATCAGAAGGACAGAGAGGGAAAAAGAATGGAGTGAAGGTCAGTTGGCTAGACTGGTAGGGTTCTTGGAAAAGGTTTTGTGTAAGGAAGTAAAGGACAGCATTTGGCAGAGAAGGAGATATGAGGACATTTTAGATGAAAGAACAGGATGAGCAAAGAAATGCACAAAAATCAATAAGCATTTATTAAACTTCTGCTAACATCAGACACTATACTGGTTGCTGGGGAGACAACAACAGAATTGAAATACTCCTTGCCTTCAAGGTGCTTACATTTATTTGAGAAGGCAACATAACCTCCCCCCACAAATATATGTATGTGTGTGTATATATACATACACATACATAAATATATATGTGTGTGTGTAACATATACCTATATATGTGTATGTGTAACATATACACATATATGTGTATGTATGTATGTGTGTGTGTATGTATCCCTATGTATGTCAAGCAACCCATCATAGAATTTCATCACCAGGAGGATGGGATTATTGCTGGTGAATGATCACCAGTGAACATTAATTCATAGCTAGTCACTTTGTTTGTACCATCCCAAACACCAACAATTTTCTAGAATGGGTTCAGTTTCTCTGTCTCCCTATAAAAGCTTCCATATACTCTTTATCTCCACCTTTTAAAAAAATTCATAAGTTTTGGGCTAAGTAATTATACTTTATTGATTGAAAGTAGATTAATATTCTGTCTGATATGCACACATAGTGCACACATATACACATACACATAAATATCAGAGAGGCCACATGGAATAGTAGATAGAAAGTTGGTTTCAGAGTAAGGAAGACCTAGGTTAAAATCCTGTCTCTGACATATTTAGGCTATGTGACCCTAGACAAGTTGCGTGACTTTTCAGTGCCCCCAGTGAGTTTCTAAGACTATAATTTGCAGACTAGGTACCAGCAGATGTTGGTAAAGAGACTTACCTTACCAGAAGTTCCCTATAGCAAGAAATCACAAATCTACCCTCCCCCTCAAAAAAAATGTAATTGGGGGTTTTACTATCACATAGGAGGTGGTGCTTGAGATGAGTCTTGAAGAAAGCTCAGGATTCTAAGAGGCAGATGAGGAAGGAGTGAGTTCCAGGCATGGGGATCAGCTTGTGCAAAAGTATAGATAGTGATAGAAAGCCATATATGAGCAATGAATGGACAGGCAACGATTAATACAATTAGACCTTCTGGTGGGCTGAATTCAAGAGTAAGGAGCCATTGAGTGGCATCAGTTGATAAAGTGCTTTAAATGCTCAGTTAAAGTATTTAGATAATATCTAATAGGCTATAGGGAAACAGTATAGGTTCTTGAGAAAATAATATTTCATGCTCCTTGAAGTGTGAGAAAGACTAGACATATGGGAGTCCAGCTTGAAAGTTACATAGGCAATCTAATGTCAATATGAGTTCCCTCAATATGAGGGAAGTCCTGGGCTAGAAGTAGTGGATGTGGAAAGAGAAGGGGCCAATGGGACAAAGCTTGTGGAGGAAGAGTTGGTATGACTTGTTGACTAGATGGACATGGGAGCGAGTTGCAGCAAAATGTTTCTCCTTGGTGCTTGGGATAATGATGGTCTCTTTAACAATAATAGGGCAGGTTGGGAAGGAGAGGCAGTTTTGTAGAGGGAGGGAGAGATAATCTAATATGTTTGAACTAAGACGCAAGCACATTGGAACCGTATTAGGGCTGCCCTGGACCGGAACAGCAGAGCGTCTCACTTAGGGAGATTATGGGATCATTCCCATAGGGATAAAGTCAGAGTGGAGCATAGGGAATTTAAAAGTGAAAGACCTAGTGTTATTCAAATCACATGACTTTCCCTCACTCTTATGGATGCTAGAATGGTCTGGAATCTTTTACCGATATTTGGCAGATTGTAAGGACAAAGGAAAGTGTAAGGGAAGGTCCAGATCCTAAGTGACTGGTGTGAACAGCAAAGCTCTCAGGAACCATGGCAAGAAGGAGGCACTAAGTCAGAACCAAATCAGAGTCAGGACCTGTGGTACCGAACTGAAGGCTGTAGTAAGCCCAATTCTGGTGAGAAGGTAAAATGATTCCTGGACTAGAAATATCCTGGATTTTCTATAGTAAGGGGACAAGTGAGTTTCTCAGGCTGTGGCATATTTAGGGGGTTTGGGGGATTCAATATTTTGGTTAAGTAAACAGTTGAACCAAATTTATTATTGGACCTTATTGATTTTTAGAAGTTTGGCTATGGTTGTGCCACTTTGGTGAAATATTTATTCTATCTGTAAGTAGAGATTTAACTAGTTAGAGAACATAATGAAGAAGAGTGGTTTTTCTAAAGTAAAATGAAGCTAGGGCTGGTAACTAATCCATGCACAAAGCCATTGTTGTTCAGTCATTTCAGTTGTGTCTGACTCTTCCTGACCCCAGTTGGGCTTTTCTTAACAAAGATACTGGTGTGGTTTGCCTTTTCCTTCTGCAGTTCATTTTACAGATGAGGAAACTAAGGCAGACAAGATCAAGTGAACTGCTCAGGTCACAAAGCTAATAAGTGTCTGAGGCCAGATTTGAACTCAGAAAGATGAGTCTTCCTGATTTCAGGCCCAGCACTCTTTCTATGTCACCTCACTGCCCCATAAAAGTCTTAGACCACTGAAAAAAGGTATTATCACACCCAACGGGTGGGACCAGGGGGAAGGGGAATGAGGTGGCTAGCTCTCTGATAGCTAGAAGCAGCTGGGTGGTACAGGGGATAGAGTACTACAGCCGGAGTCAGGAAGACCTGGGTCTAAATATGACTTCAGACACTTAAAAGTTATGTAATGCTAGACAAGTCACTTCACCCCTGTTTGCCTCAGTTTTCTCAACTATGAAACAGGGATAATAACACCACCTGGGTTGCTATGAGGACCACATGAGATGGCATTTGTAAAGCACTTAACGTAGTACCTGGTACACAGTCAGGTGGCAGTAGTAGTGCCCACAACATCTGGGGGCTCATCCAGAACACCATATCCAGGCCCACTAGGCTGGATGTGGCCTGATCACACTGCTTACTCAGGATCTGAAGTCCTG